TAAATATTTAACATCTCTCTGGCAGAGTTGTCCAGTTCGCCCCCAGGACCGTACCACCAGGAGCCCTACGTTTGTAAGGCGGAGGAACGCTTTAAATCGCCACCTATTCTTCCCCCACACCTGTTGCAGGTCATCCTGAATAAGGACACAGGCATCTCTGTAAGTACATTATTTTGTTTTGCTGAATAATGGCCTTGAGGGTGTGAACAGATGGGGAAAAAATCTGGGGACAGACGGGACAGGCAAGGAAAATCCTCAGAATAGTTGCCATGTTGGTAAATTCCTTATTACATATGTCCAAGTGGATCTGTCTGAAGTAAATTTATTTCTCTGCTTGACCCTTCAAAGCTGAAAGAAAACTAGATGGCTATTTTACTCACAGAAACCCTAATCTTCCCACTGCAATACTATTAAAATGTCAGAAGCACATAAGAAATAATTGAGGCCTGTTTCACGGTCACAGTGAGGATACAGAGGGTTTCACCCTGGTGGAGTCTGGGATTGTTCTGAAACTTTGTGTTTGTTTATGGACTCAGTGTAAGCAGCAGTGTGATGTATTTGAGGGTGCGGCTAGTTACAGCTGGTGTTTATCGCCCATCAGCTGCGGTGAGTACACTGTGAGTTCCGTTATTGTCACCCTGTCTCACTTCCTCTATTCTCCAGTGCGATCCTGCTCTGCTCCCTGAACCCAACCATGTCATGTTGAACCACCTCTACGCACTTTCTATCAAGGTGAGAGGCCAGGGCGTGTTCTTCACACGTGCAGCTTTTAGATAACCATGTAACATGCTCACTTGTTTTCCATCTCCTGTAGGATGGAGTCATGGTGCTTAGCGCTACACATCGTTACAAGAAGAAATATGTGACTACTTTGCTGTACAAGCCAATATGAACATCGTAGTAGTTTGTGACTGGTTGTTCTGGGTCAGTGCAGTCTCAGAAAAAGAATTCTTCTCTTAACCAAATGTATTCCTGCTCTGTGCTGTAGCAAATGAACTCTGATTTCATATCGTTTCTGAGACTTCCAAGTTCTCCTACATTTGCCTTATTTTCCCAGTCCCACCTTGGAAGTTCTTGGAGATGGCAGCTTCATGGCAACTAGACGGATGGCAAAGGTCGCAGTGCCCAGTGTCAGCTCAGTTAAAAAAACACCAATTTTTTAGGCTGAAAAATGTGAGGGCAGCAACAGATTAAAGACCTTTAGCAGTGAGGCAGACTGTAAGCCCAAAGACAAGCCAGCCCAAAGTCTAGAAGGTTCAGGATTCTTGTGGAATCTTACTTGAGCTCAACACTCAGCAAAAGCAAGCCCATTACTGTTTCATAACTCATCAAACATGCAATTACTTCAGTAGCAAGTTCCGAACTTGCATGGCTGAAATAAGTGTGAATATTGATGATGTTGTAGCAGCCTTTTCTAGGCAAAATCAGCAACACAATCACCAACAAGCTCATTTTTATTTTACAGTAGACTGGGGTGCACTGTTTCTGCTGTGAATAGCTCTATAGTTTTTCTCTTCATGAGAACTGAAATACAACTTTTCCCCTGTGGAATTTCTGGTAAAGACAATTGTTTTTAATGGCTGGATTTTTCTGTAAATGATAAATGTGTCTTGCAGTAATCTGCTTTTTGAAACCAATTTCTCTTGCTGTCACTGATAAGGACTTCCTTAAGCTGGGCTAGGTAGCTGTGAGGAAATCGATGTATTCAGTTTAGGGATTAGTTCTTCAGTGACTGTAAATCGCCTCTATCCCAGTGGCCAAACTTGCCCCTTGCAGGGTGCTGGGTACAGCAGCACTGCTCCCTCCTTGCCCAGGGCTGGAGCTGGACCTCTGCTCCATGTTGCAGTGTTGACTGTGGGTATAAAATCCCTGGTGCTTCCACAGCCAGGGCTGTGGGGATCTCTGCGACTTTATATTCAGTTTATCTTTTCTAAGTGATTATAGTAACACCAGGGTGCCTGTACTTGGTACTTGCAGCCTGTTTTATCCCAAAACAAATGCAACTTTAATGCAAAACTGCCTGACGGCGTGCCTCGGGCCTGCCCCGGAGGAACCAGCTCAGAGGGGACCTGCTGGGTCCTTCCCTCTGGTTTTTGGTGCCTGAGAGTGACTGTGCCAATGATAACCAGCCCCCCCGCCCCGGCTGCAGAGAGGAGCACATCGCACAAATCCACAAGGAGGATGAAAGCTGCAGCGGCCAGCGTTCAGGGGAGCCAGCCACAGCGGAAGGGTGGTTTGCCATCCTCAGATCTGTTCACTCGCCTTGTTGCAATATCCCGAGTAGCTGAGTAGATCTGGGTCTGGTGCAATGGTTTTCCCTGAAAACTCTTTCTTCATTCTGTGCTATGGATAGTATTTGGTATTCTCAAATATGGAATTGCTTTTGTTTTCAGCCTCTTTAGAAACAAATAAAACATTTTCAAGAAAAGTAGGTGACTTGATTTGTTATTATCCTTCCCATTTGTAGTAACCTCAGCTTCTGTGAGTTGTTTTTGGTTTTGTTTTTTTTTTTAATAACCTGTGAGTGCCTGATTGCAGTTTTCTGCCTTGGTGGATTGTGCAAGCTTTTCATTCATAAATGCAGCCTGAAATAATTTGTCCGTTTCCAGTCAATCAGTAAAGGAGGGAGGTGTTAGTGTCTGTTTGTGATGTAAAGTTTACAGGAAGAACAAGAGTCTGTTTACTTAAAAGCTCCAGTGATCTGTTCCTTAGTACTGAAATTCTTGGTATTGGCCTCCCACAGGCTTCTCTTTCTTCCAGCCACTATTCAAGCAGCCTGTTTTTTTTTTTCCCAAGCCTCTCCCTGGCTGTTTCTGGTCTGTGGTGTCGGGCACATGCATGGCTGCGCAGTGCACAGCCCACACCCTCTGCCCTATGGCTCAGCACCCGAAAATGCTGACGGGGAGGAGGTCAGGGAGGAGGCCGTGGGGTGCTGGTACCCGTGGAGCAGGCCCGTGTGCTTCGGCGGGGCAGCCAGAGGTTCCTCTTAGCTTGAGCTAGTTGTGTTGGGGCACTGGCCAATGAGGCATCAATAGCCAGGAAGGGCTCTGGGTTGGAACAGCTCCAGTTCGCTATTTGAACAGGAGTGCCTTTTGTCCACACGGAAACTCGGGCAAAGCACCTCGATGTTTAAGCGCCGAAGTCTGTGCTGGTGAAGCGTGTGACCGCAGCCATTCTTTGTCAGGTCCCTGCCACTAAATATTGGCCCTGCCGTCCGTGGTGGCACCCAGAGGGGTGTCGGTGCCCGGTGGCGCCCAGCGGAGCTGTCGCACAGAAGCGGTGGGGGGTGGGCACACGTGGTGTGGGGGGGGAAAAAACGGGACACGGGACTGTCGTGCCCTGCCCTGCTGCCGGTGGTGGAGTGGTGGCGGAGGGCCGGAGGAGGGCTGGCAGCCTGCAGGTGCTCCCGCGGCTGGCGAGGCGAGCGGTGGGCTGCGGGAGGCCGAGCGCGGGGCACCTGCTGTGGCAGCCAACGGGGCGCTTGTGCAGGCCCAAGGCTGGCGGGTAGGGTGAGCGTCAGCAGAGACAAGTGTTGGAAGGAATTTTTTTCTTCAGCTGAGTTCAGAGAAAAGTAGAGGCGCAAGTGTATTGGCAGACAGATGTCATGCAGTGAGTCCTCTTAAATGCTTTTAGTGCCAGCAGGGAAATGATACCAGACGTTTCTTATTTGAACAACGCAGAAATAATTTTTTTTTCTAGAAGAGGTGCTTAGAGGGAGCTTAATAAGTTTTGGGGGTTTTTTTTGGTTTGGTTTTTTTTTTTTTCTTTTAGTTGCAAAACAAAATGTTTCATGAGTCAAAGACTAAAGAAGCTGAAACTTTGAGAAACAGAGAACAGAAAGGAAGGTGAAAGTACGCAAGACTTAATGGTACTTATGGACTCAGTCTTATTAGTTCTTGCTAAGCTTTGTGGATTAATTTTCTCCAATTACATATATCCATGACTCACTCCAGATGTTCCATTGGTGCTGGTATGGTGGAACCACAGGACAGAACCAATTATTTTATAGAAACATTTTTATTTTGTTTAACTTGCAGCCTACAGCCATGTCTCAGATAGCAGAGCTCTCAGTGCATGGTCTGCAGCCAGCACTGCACCATTAGCTTTTGCAGCCCTCAGAAAAGCTTTCTTTGCCTCAGGAATGAGGGTGAGGGGCCCAGACTTTGTGGGCAGCAAGCGGCCCAGCAGCAGGGTCTGTGCTGGGATCACCTCCACCTCCTTCTGCTTGCGCAGGTCAGAGCGTGGCTGCCCAGGGGCCTCTCGCAGGCAGGGGCCAGGCAAGGTGGCAGAGGTGTGGCGCTCCCTGACACCTGTGGCCTCAACCACCATCTCCCAGGAGCCACAAGCTTTGTCCAGGTAAAGCCACAGCGGCCCCTCAGCCCCCCCCCATCCCTCTTTGCTGTGGGAGGGCTGGCTCCTGGCAGATGCAAGGCAGATACAAGCTGGTGGGTTTTTGCTGCAGAGTGGTTTTTTTTTTTTTTTTTTTTGCTAGGTTGTTTTCTGCTTGACAGGTGAATGAATTCAATTAATCACACTGTGTTCTCTTATTGTAACAGGATGATCAAATCCCTCCCAAGGCAAAAGCTGGATCAAGAGTTGGATTTATTAGCTCGCTCACATTCCCCACCCACAGCTCACAGTCTGTGCTGTTATGTTTATTCTTGGCTGTTGCTAGGAGAGCACATTTTTTTAAGGTAGATGCAGAGACTTTTGTTATACTCATTTTTTGGGTCTCTTGAGTAAGCCATTACATTCAGTGTCTAGGGCAGAAATAACAAGAGCTTCCTGCCCTCCCCGACCCCCATAAATTTCAGCACAGTGTGGGGTGGTCAAGCTGACAGTGGATTTGTGCAGGGTTCTTGATAATCAAAAGGCTCAATAAATATTTTTTTTTTTACTCCACCAGTTTCTGGATTATTTTAGTTTTGTTACATTTCTGATCATGCATCATAGGACTGCAACAATGAGCTTTAAATAAGTATTCTTTGTGCACAGTAAAATAGAAATAAAGGAACATTTAACAAGTTAGCATTTCATCATATACATCAGATAGTAGGCACAATAGATAAATCAAGCAGCTTGGTTTTTATGTAGAGCATTTTCATGAAGAATGTCATGTAGACCAAAATGTAAGAGGAGCTATTAGTAACCCACCCCCACACCCTCCAACAAGCCCTTTATTGGGGGTAAGAGGGTGGTTACGTGCACAGAACCAAAAACACTGAACAGTAGGAGGACAAATTAAGTTACTGTAGGCAGCAGTGTGAATATTAAAAACCTCTTCCTGTGAAAGAATACTTCAGACCCTGTAAAAACTGGTTCAGTTAAAAATAGATGTATTTACATTTAAGTCTGATCTAGCAAGTTTTCCCAGCAGGTGTAAGTTAAGATGTACAGTAACTCTGCAGGTTGTACTCAATCTGACTTGATTTGTGAATGTGTTTTGTTGTTTGTTGTTTTTTTTTTTTTTAAAGTTGCAGCTATTAGGCCTTAAAGCACCAGCATATTACAGCGGTGAGATGAGTAACTGTCTCCATCCGCTTTGCTACCAGTACATTGCCGGGATAAATCCCAAACCTGTCATTAGATCACACTATTGTTAATTAAGATATTTCTTCCAGCTCAAGATGTGTGGGTCACTTACCAGGGCGAGATTGTTTTCCCAGATACTCACACGTGTCTTACCTCTACCCATAGCACTGTTTCAGTATGTGAGGGCAGAATTTAGCTGTAGGTGTTTGCAGCTGACTGCTGCTCTAGTAAAATATTTGGACAAATCCACCTGTTTTAGTTCCTATGAACATGCTTTGTTTTTGTGAAGCCACTTACGCTACTTGTTCAGGGAATAACAACTATTAAAATGCTAAATATTGTCAAGTTTAGCTCTTTGGTAAGCTTTGACGCCTATAGATTACACAGCCTCTAATGCTGGGTGCAATGGTAGGATGGCTCAGTGTTACTCTATAGAGAAGGAAGCGTTCATTTCACCATGCCAGTCAAGATAGTTATTTGTTTATTTGGTTATTGTTCAACAACAAAGTTCAATACTTTCCAGGTGGAGCTTTGAACTGTCCCTCTGGTTCCCTCCCTTGTCAATAATAAAAAGGTAATGAAGAAAAATCCTGTACTTTTAGAGACCTAAAACCTCATTTATGCTAACAAGCTTCAATTGCAATTTAATGTTACAATATTTCTTCATGGGAGCGAGGAGGACTAAGCTGAGGCCCCTCCAGCGTCTGAAGATGGCTGTCCACAACCACCATTAAAACAAAAAGCTAGTGTTGAAAAACGCACAGTTTACAATAAAAAAGTAGAAACCAATTCAATTCCCTTTTGTTACGAATATAAAGTTTCTTGTAAATATGTACAGTCCTTTGAGCTATTTCTATAGCAGGAAGCATTTCACGAACAAGACACAAGATATACACTTTCAGGACTCAACAAGCCCATTTCTGAGGTCTTGAAGATCTTCCATGAGATGCAAAGATTTAAAGACTGATCTCAGTGACCCTTCAAAATATTCAGACCAGGAGACAAAAACTTTCAGCAAGTTTCCTGCCAAATCATCTGACCTAAAATAACCCAACAGACAAGAGAACGGAATACAATATTCATGAAACTCGCCAAAGGACACTGACAAGGCATTTGAATTTTTATGGGTTTCTAGAACAGGTTAGCACAGGCTTGCAAGGGACTAGCAGAAGTTTAAGAGTGTGGCCAAGGGAAGATTGGATGCAGTTTTGCTCTTTCCAGTTGTAAAGAACATGGTTGTTCACTTAGAATGTTGCTATTGCAGATTGAATGGTCAAAACCTGCTTCGAAAATCATTTGCTCTCTGCTTCATGTTCATAGCAAAAGAGAATAGAAAGCAATAAAGGGCTCGAGGTTAGATACGCAGAAGCAAAGGCGAAGGTGTTCAGTAACCGCTAAAGCTGTTCATTGTGAGTATCCTCTTGTGCCATGACAGTTGGTTCTTATTGTACGACAAGTTACAGGTCACGGGAAGAGCCAGCCCGGGGCTGCTCCTCGCTCGGGGCCACGTGAGACTGTCAGGACCACGTTCAATGCTGAGAGGAGAACACAAGCGTGACTGTAATTCTTGTCATAGAATAAGGCTTGTGAACTCTTCGTTGCCAAATTTCCAGAGTAATTAACGGTTATTTTGCAGCGTAATCTAAAGGTTTCAGTTAGTTTACAAGTGAGGTACAATACACTACTCAGCAAAGCAACCTAAAAGGAGAGAGCAGCCAGTGATGGTGCAGCAGCATGCAGTGAACTGTCATGCAGAAGACCTGGATAAAGTCTTACACCCCAGTAGCTTATAGGTAACACACTTTGTCTCAGGGCCCGGCACATGGGATCGTTTAAAGCAGGGTTCTTCCCTCCCCATCAGAGCTGCTCTAGAGCAATTTTAGTGAGAACAAAATAACTTTCAGAAGTGGCAGGTGAACGGACTAATCAGAAGTAATTTTTCTTGTGTTCTGTAGAGAATATCCAATCACACCTCCTATTGAAAGACTCACTCACCTTGGCCCTTCTGTTTCCAGGCCATCAGGAATTCCCAGCATGTCTCAGAACTATGATCAATTATCTGCTAAGGGGTGCTAACCACATTAAAGACCTGGGGTGGGACTCTAGTCCCGTTTAATTTCCTTGATGAACCACTAGGGACTAAAGTGAGTACAAAAAGTTCATGAACTGCTTGAAAGAGTAACAGTAGTACAAAGTGCAAAAACAGGAGTGCAGGAAAGTGCAGAGAAATTAACTGAGATGCGAACAATCTTCAAAAGCGTCACGTCTCCTGATGCGGAGCGGGCTTCGGCCCAGGAATGCTGTTTTGGTAACTAGGCCGCAGACATGGAGTGCATATACTCAGTATATTTCCTTTTTTTTTCCTGCAGGTCAAGATGAGTAACTTTGTCTAGCTGAGACTTACACTGAAGACTGGTCCCAGACCTGGCAGGGAAATAAAATGACAGTTACGAGTCGCACATTTTTTTCTCACGTCTGCCCAGGTGCCAGCAGCAGTCCATCACCTCAGTCCTGGCACTGCTGCTGAGCCAGCGCTGTACGCCTGCCTGCTGCCAGGTGCCATCACTCCTAATCCACTGACAAAGGCAAGTACTGTCAGCATCACCCTGAACACAGCAGGCTCCCACGTTCCTTTCTCCAGAGACCATCCCCCTTCAAGCCCTCGATAACCTAACTGCAGTTAGGAAATGCACTTCTGCTTTTAGATCTGGAGGACTTTAGCCTGTTCCAGAGTCAAGCTGTTTTTGCAGTTACAGAACTGGCACAAGGGAAGGCGTTCACAGTGAGTTACACCGTATGTGCTCTGTTTTAGCAGAAGTTGAGAGGGGGATGAGATTTGATTTGCTCTTTTGTACTCTACAGTACCAACAGCTCTGATGTGTCTTTTCCTGAGAACAGAAAAGTTCTCCAGGCTCCAGACTTACCTTATTGACTTGAGCAAGAGGAGTTCTGGCCCCACTCACAGGCATTCGTCCTCGGCTGCTCTCGTCAAACAGTCTTCCAGGGGACCTCTCTCTGCGGGTGCTCAGAAGCCGGCCTGGAGATTTCTCCCTCTCCAGCGGTCGCCCAGGTGACTTGTCCCTCCGCAGCTCTGTCCTGCCCTCGCGGTACCGATGGGGTGTGCTTGGCTCTCGAGGGTGGCTTGGGCCTTCTGGTGGTCCTGGGCTTGACGCTACCCGCTTGGTTATGTGCTCATTGTATGTGGGCGGACCTCTCTTGTTAGGGCTACTGTCATTCAAAAACAATGGACGTGAACAGCTGAGCAACAAAAACTTCACTTACACTTTCTTTAGCAAAAATATAACTGTCCACAAGCAGCCAGCAGTGTTTAGGTGAAAAAGCATCAGACCTCCCTGAGGCATGATGAAAAGTGCAAAGACACTTTGATAGCTGAGTATCCATCACATCAGCCACACTAGTGAAGTGCCTTAATGAATTGCCCACATACGTCACATCTACTTAACAGGCCACAAAAGTACAGTCATATACTCCAGCAGTATATTTTTCCTTATGAAAGTACACTAAAATCTGGTATATGCTTTTTCACAGACAAAAGTAGCTCCAGGTGTTCAGGCCAGGTCAGATGAGCTACAAGCCTCAGTTTCTAAAGTTTCTCAACGCACAGTGGCACTGTTGACCCTGGTATTCACCCCTTTGAAGTGTTGAGTGCTGAGCAGAACACAATCATATCACACCTGCCCAACGCTGTCTCCCTGAGGCATACACGTTATTTAAGAGGAAGGGGCTCTTGCTTTAGAGATCGTTACAGTGAGTCAATGTCTAGTGTCATGTCAGTGGCATCTGAGCTCACCAAGCTCTGAGGTCACAGTGCTCTCGCAACACAACCAGCTGAAGAGAGCAGAGCATTTGTGGAGATTACTCACATATTCCCACATACAGAGTTAATGTTTCTTTGCCTCCCGGATTTTAAAACATGAGCGACTCTACTCCTTGTTCCAGCATTACAATAACTGGCTAATGCCAGCCTCTATCTCTAAGAGTGGAACAAGGGCATCCCACAGCATCAGGGGAAAAGCCACCTGGAGCAGAGTTTGCTCTCAAGGTGCACAGGGACCCCGACACACTGACTTCATCGTACCTGCGTGTAGCGGAAGATCCTCTGTGGTGCTGCTCGTTGTTGGTCTCCTTCACTAGATTGCCCTTACAGCAAATCACCCTTAATTTGTCTTGGTAGGAGGAGGCCAAGTAGATAGCTCCAGATGAAATTGCAGGCCCTAGATACCGTGGATTTGGTATCTCCAGGTGGGCTCGTGCAGGAGTTCTGGGTAAAATTGCAGGAAAGAGTCTTCACAATGACAACACTGTGCCTTTTTCTGGCAAGTATACATATTCTTGCAGCACATGCTGTTCAAAGTAATGAGAAAAGAACAACTTACCCTAGAGAAGCTCGTGCCTGAATCTCAATCACTTCAAGGGAATTGAAGTGGGTCACAAACAGATAGGGCTCCCTGTAGGCTGAAGAGAAAACACAAAAGAAAATTCTCAGTTAAAAACTTCTAAAAAGCATCAGTGAGCACAACAAAGCCTCACAGCCCCTTGGGAAAACTAAGGGAATATATTTTCTGTAATAAGACACAGACACTAAGTAGGGAGATGCAAGCTTAAAGGATTGTTGCTTTTAAACTGTCTGTATCTGAAGAATTTTACTAACCAAAGTATCATGAAAAAGGCATTAAAAATAGACTATTAACTGAACTTTAAAACTAAAATCCCATTAGGTAGTGTGAACAGACTGAGGGAACCACACTGACGTGATATTTTCTTGACCATTTCAGAAACTACGAAGCAACATTAAAAATCCCACTAGCCAGTTTAATCACATCAGACTAGGAACATTAAGGAAATCCAACTTTGGTTTAGTTTTCCTCAAATAGTTTCTACTTCAGAAGGTTTGTCATCTGATCTTAATGATTTATAATGATCTTAAATCATGGGAAAATCCCCATAGTTTCTGGGACAATTGGGAGAGGGAAGAGGAACCAGAAGTGCTGAGTGAAGGATACCTGTCCTACAAGGATGCTTCCTGGTTTCAACAATTCCCATAATCCAAGTGAATGTCCCTCAACACCTACCAAAAGCTAAGGGCAAGCGATTCCATTTCAGGTCATCTGTCCTACTGCGTCTTCCATAGGAATCCACAAAGACACCAAACTCTGCCAAGAAAAGTCATGTCATGTCATGTCAAGAGCATGTGCCTGAATTTTCTTCATTTATTTTTGAAGGACAAAGGCAATTGACCCAGGGCTTTTTAGCAGGCAGGGTGCTTACTATCTTGGAAACCCTAGAGTGTCATTAATTACTCTAATTGACACTGAATTGCCTAGATGTAGGAGCACTTTCAGTACCAAAAGGTACTGCAATTCTAGGTGTCTCTATACCAGTTAAGGTTATTATTTAATCTACAGTTGGGAAGACACTGAGACTCACCCAAAATTACTGCTAGTGGGCTTTTGAAGACTTCCTGTGCATTTTCATGACACTATCCTAGAGGGCCAACAACAGCAGCTATACAACAAAATAACACCCTCTTATTTCATCATAAGAAGATTAAAAAGTCTTATCTCTCTGTATGGAAACCAGACAAGAAAGCCAAAGTCTGAAACCCCCTTAATATTTTAACAAGACAATCAAACACCTGTTTTCACTTAGCACTGACTACTATCCTCTCCCTTCAGGCACAAAAGCCCACACATGGCAACAGACCCACAGGCAGAGATCTCTTACGCCAGAAGGAAGCTGACCAAGAGCACCTCAGCACACTGGATCAGTAAGAGATGTTCTAGTGCCAATGCCCTGTGCATCTTCTCACTGTTTAAGCCACCAGCCACAACTCTTCCAGGGATTTTAGAGTCACAGTCCTCAACAGCTCTTCGCTACCAGGTGCTAGAATGTCAAGTCTGTTGAGCTTCCCTCTCCAACAGTACTTAGGTGCCTTCTGACAGTTCAGGTACCAAAGAGAGTGGCTGGCTGTAGTGCAACAACTGCACAGCCATACCACACACTTACCATGGAAACACAGCAGGTACTCCTCCCTCTGCCCTGTTGGGTTCACTTGGATGATACTGACTGGAAAACTGTTGGTGGAAGCAGCAAACACAGCAGAGGCCAAAGTGTGGTCATTTTTGTCCAGAAACTCTGCACAGAGAATGAAGAAAACCAGCTCAGTCAGCACCAACTTTTTTTTCTGAACTGCTTTAGAAGAGCCCCACCAAAAGAATCTGTGGAGCCACTTGGGGTGTTCCTCAGGAAGTGTCTCCTACCCTCCAGTGTATACTGCTTCATCTCAATTTCGTAGAACTTGTTGGTGCCAATGATGATGCTGTAAGTGGTCAAATGGATGCAGCTGCAAGGCTCAGAGGTTTCAATCTCCTGGAAAAGAGGAAAGTATGGACGGATATTAGTTCCCTGTAACAGTTTACAGATGTTGCTTATTCTGGAAGATTATATATTGCCAATTTATCTTTACAAAAGGGAGAGACAGCAACCTCAAAGTCACTAACAGTCTCTCAAAAGCGTATGGAAAAGTATGTTTTCTCTCGAGAAGAAACCTTTTGTTTTGTTGGAAGTGATACTTGCTTGAGTATAGCCTCACATGCAAACTCAACTCCAGGTGCTAACCCTAATAAGAACCTCTTCCTTTTGGAAGAGCACGATATTCTGGAAGACATTCTTCTGCTCTGCAGCTCAGTTTTCTGGAGCAGTAGGGGGTGGCTCCCTACTTGCAATAGGTCACAGCCACACCAGAGGCTGCACGTCTGAACAGCCTCTGGAGATGACATAAGACCAGGAATGAGCAGTTCAGGTTGAATGCCAGCCTTGTCACTAGGAAGCCTATCAGTCAAAACTGCCCCAGCTCCAGAGCAGCTGTGCTAGAACAACCACTTCCTCGCCTGGAAGTCACCAGGAATCAGGGCAGCTACTAGAAATGTGAACGGAAGATCCTATGACAACTGCAGCAAGACTGACCCCAGTCTGCTCCCAAAATCTTCATAACCCACAGAGCAAATCTTGTCAGCAGGCCTGTCCATCGCTGTGATTCTCCCAACAGAATCAGCTCACTAAAGTATCTCTGCTGCTAACACTTAAGAAGTGTTAGCACTTCTTTTGCACCTTAAGCTAAAGGAAGACAAACACACACAATCTCCCTTCTGTCTTCATACAATGTAACACACGTGTTGTCCACCAAGACCTCCACTGTGCTTGAACAGCTAGGATAGCTCTGCAGGTTAGGCTGACACAACACACAGCTCCCCAGATCTTCTGAGGACAAGATTCCTTGCATAATTCCCAGTTTATCTGGAAACTTAGTTGGCAGAACAGAAAAACATATTCTGGGCTTGCTGCCATCTTGTTAGGATCTAAATTCAGTTGTCTGGATTAGTGAAGATAAGGAAAACTTGCCTCCTGAAACACGCCTTTGCATGTTTTGCATGTAAGCCCCTGTCAAGGCACTCGGCACTACGGGGGTGAATGGCAGCACGAACAGAGGACGGTGACTGTACATCCTCAGTGTTTCCTGCCGGCTGCTGCTCCGCTGTGAGCAAGAGTTGGTATCGGCTACAATGCTTGTAGCTGTTCCAGGTTTGCTGGCATCCACATTGTTTGTGCCAAGATCTTCTCCATCAAACATGTCTTTACTTCCAAGGAAGCCAGCATCTGAATTACCGTGCCCACTGTGCTTCCTTACAGCAGTGCCAGTGTAGCACTCCGTGGGGATAAAAAAAACCTCAGGCAAGCTGTAAATTGAACCAGTGCCTTCAAAGGAACCTGCAGAAGTTCAGTGGGATATGTAGTTTAACCTGAACATCCCTGAATTTGTGAGTTGGAGAGAACACGAGTTTCTGGGTACCAGCCCATTTTGAGGTGGGCAGTTTTGAAACATTTTGTTCTGCAGAGAGATCCCTATTATTTGGTTTTTTTTTTTTTTCCTGGATGTGTATGAGCATATGAAATTTATTCATGACAATTAATTGGACTTGGCTTTGAGAGGAATAGTGGGTTAGATGCTCGGAGTATTATCTGCCTGCAGCTGTCTGTCTGAAGAAGAGTTGCAGTAGTTCTGCTTTTCACCCCCAAGCAGGGAAGAATGAAGCAACACACAGTGCTGGGGCTGCAGGTAGCCAGGGTTACACACAGCTGAGGGACATCCATACCTTACTGCCTCATTGGCCAGCCAGGAGAAAGCACACGTTTATCAGGGTAAGTATGGGAAACAGATGCCTATCCTGAGATGGAGTAACACCAAATAGCCTTTGATTTTCAGTGGTACAGTAAACAAATTCAGATACCCATGGCTTCCCTAATTGCAAAGGAAGGAAAAGTCATTTGCTATGGATTCCTCCAAAGACAACAGAGGTGAGGGAACACTGCTGGATAATTAAGATAATTTTCTGGGTACATAAGCAAGGGTATGATTACAGCTGAGTCCAGTATCTCAAAAAAAAAAAAAAATCCACGGTTCTGTTCTGCATCTCTCCAAATATGCCAACTGTTATTAAAGAAAATTTCTGCCTACTCCAATTTTAGTCAGCACACATTGCAATTTGTTATCATTTTAGCTGGCAAACAAATTTTCTTAGGCATGCAAAAAGATTTAAGATGTTTGCTCCAAACCCAGAGTCTTAGTGCAACGTGTGAATTAACTAGTGAAGGGAATTACTAAGCTTACCTTTCTGATACAGAACTTGCTCAAGCTCTCATTGTATCGTAGAACCACCACTTTACTGGGCATGGCTGCACAGATACAAAGACCATTCTCAACCTGTAAGGAAGATTACAAGTATGGTTCGGGATGGTAATACAGGGTAAATTCTAATGCTGGGCATGTGAAACAGATCTGAGTACCTCTTGTCACAGAAAGAACTTTGCAGAGATAAGCAAGTACATTTTTAATAGGGTAGTTATTGTGAATTAGTGAAATAATGAAAAGCCTCTTCACATTCTCAAAAAAGAATGTGAATTTGAACTTCATCTATGATTTGTTTTATACTTGAAAGAAGTTAACAAAAAATTAGGTTTGCCACAGAAAAATCTATCATCAAAAGGGATAAGAAACTCAAATAGGTAAGGTCTACATTTTAACCCCTGAAACTGTTACTTTAACTATCACTTTGAAACGAATTATGTTCAGTTTGTTATCAAAGTAGTCTGTAGAAGTAACTGTTAATGAGAATTTTTGCTGTGGCTAAATGTTCCATGCTAAAACTGGGAATTACTGTAAATATCAAGAGTTACTAAGTGACGCAAACACCTAAGTAAATTTGCTAGCCTGGAAACTGTTACGTGACATTCAGGAACAAGCAGTGGATGGAATTCACTAATTATAAACCTCTAAATTGAAGGACACAGTTATACTATGCTACGCTGTATGTGTTATGTAGCAGTTTAGGCTATACCCTCATGCCATCCTGACTGAATTGATTCATATGATTAGTAGGTCCTCCATTCTGTCTCCAGCTCAGCCTCTCTTCAGCCCCTATACTCTTCTTATTTGAAGAAAAAGATTTAAAACAAGAATATAGACCTTGGATTTGTTGCCAGTGAAATAAAGATGCTTGCTTTGATTAACATTCAACTCAGCGCAGTCTAAAGGGTGGTCTGAGGGCAAGAGGGAGCAGTATCCTACCTTGCCAGCAGCAAAAAGGTGACATCCTTTGACAGCCTCAAAGACATTAGGTGAGATATCAGGCTGGGCTGGGAGATGAGACTGAGCTAGAGATTGCTTCACTTTCTTTACATCAACAAGACACAGAGCCCTTTCTTCTCCTGGAAACAAAAATGGTTACATTTCGTCAAGGGAAAACTCCCTATTCTCTACAAAAGTCTGTTCTGTTGCCTAAGCAGCAGCTTATCGTTACAGGCTGTTACTGTGGTAACACTCACAATGCACCATGTAGAATTCATTCCATATTATTCCTATGAAAAGTGAAACAGAAAACTTACAAAAACCCAAACACACAACAGGCAGTAAATCCACTGGGAGAACAACCATTCTCTCCATGGATTATTAGTGTAGCTAGGGTCTAGTAGATCCCAATGAGAGTGGCCTCATTAGGACACTACTCAAAATTAGCCAGGAAGTTTAATTTAACCCTTCAGAACTTCTTAAAGTAAAAGATCCTTTAGCCTCTCCATGCCAACAGAACCAACAATGGATTTCCCAGAAGTGCCCTAATAAACTGCTTTACAGACCAAGCCCAATTCCTCTCAGAAGTCTAGTGATACAGTACCATAGCCTTTTCCTAACTTTGCGTGAGATTTTCTTTTTCCAATTGCTTTTTTCTCTACCATCTTTAAACAAAAAGCATGGACAGCTTAAATCTTTACAAGGTGAAAAACGCAGAACAAACAGAACAAGAGCAAGAATTTGTTTTTCATTCCCTACAAATGTCATAGAGACACTTGATAATTTGGGCTTTCAGATGAAGATACGCCCTAATGTTTCAGCATGCCTACATCAGTGTAGGAAGGATTATCTCTGGAAAACCACAGATGGAGATTAAAGCTGGTGTTCCTTTCATAAAGGAATCTTAAACAAACCATGAAAGAAGCCCCAATTTTGTTACATGGATTAGTGTTCAGAGAAAGAGAGGGTAAGAGTTGTTGGCCCTAGGCCACAGCGATCCCATCGTGGTCCTCCAGTGGTTGACTATGTTAAAAAGAAAGGTTATGTAGTGATTAGGAAGAGAAATGCTCACTGATCAGCTTAACACTTTTAAAACTGAATTTTAAATCATGACAAACCCCTAAACTGGAAGTATCTTGCCCCTGGTTCCTCCTTCTCTCAGCTTTGGAAACTGAGAAATCACTTTCTCGTGAAGGTTTAACTGAGCCTTCATTCACACATTCATTTTACAAGAAAGCCTCAGAAAATACTGTGTTAACCACAGTAATTGATTCCTAACAATGTACTGATAAAAACCAGAAGAAAGCCTGTAAGCCTTTGGCACAACAGTACTCCTAGCAGTACAAACCAATTACCACACATTTACTGCAGGACAAATGGTAACATATAGCCCCCTACCTGCTATCATGAGTAGCTTCTCCAGATCCTTGATGAGGTGAATTTGGAAGACAGCACCCATTCCTGGGATGTGCGTTAAGGAGTTCTTCAGTACATTCAGGGCATAGAGACCTTCTTCTGCACCCACCAGTACTACCTACAGTGACAACAGGAAAAAAATAGAAATAGCACTATGTGAGGAGAACAAGGAATGCTCCAAGAGCAAACTTGAATGATACTGTTTACCAGCGAAGAGAAAAAACAAACCAACAAACAAGTATATGATTACACATATTGTCATCGAGTTACCAATTCCATGAGTGAAATACCCCATACTCAGAAAGGCCCAACTGAACATTATTATTACCTGGTCACTGAAGGGCATTGTGCAATTTATATCCAAACGGTCTTCACCCTCTAGCTTCAGCAGGGAGTTTCCAAGCAATTTCTGCAAATGACAAAAAGATATTTTTTTCGGTTGAGTTAATCTTTATCTCTTTCTCTATTAGTATTTTAACAATGTAAGGTCATCATTTCAGGCAGGCAAAATGCTTGGCACAGATTTCTTTTTCTCAGAAAGCTAAAAGTTGCAGGGATACCTCCTAGAAAAGAATCAGTAAGCTTTTATCTACCTGAAACACAGTTATGCAAACCAATCAGAATTAACCTAAACTCAGACAGAACCTACTGCTGTCTCTATCCTTTCCATTTCCCTCAGGCTCCTGCAATAGAGCAGTGAAATTTTCCTAGGGGAAGGATTAAAAAAAAAAAGTCCAAATATTGGGAGCATATACTCTTCTCAGAGACAAAAGGAATCCTAGCATGAGAAAAAGAGATGATTTCCTGCTAGTCAGATATTCCCTGCCTCCAGAGCTAACTTCTAATACACAATGTCAGAGCATAAAATCTTCCTTCATCAGAAAAGTTATCAGTGCATCAATGATGTAAAAGGCTATCCAAAACCAAAACAAATCCATTTAACCTCTTATCAGGAATAAAACTTAAACACACACCCCTCCCCCGAAAAAAACAAAAAAAAACCAACTCTGTAAGAATAACTGAGGAGGGAGCTTTTTGCTGTTTTTCCTTTCTTTCCAGGTTTGCTCATTCCATGTGGTACATTATGAGATTGGATTTAAACCATGTCCTAACTGCTCTTTCTTCCTTTTCCATTTGCTGGAATTAGAGAGATATAATTTTGGGATCCTCTTACTGCACTCTCCAAGTCTAAAGAAGGGTATTGTAATCTAGAGCATCAGTCTCACAGTGAACTAGTTCCTGGTACTTATATGGTACATCATAAGGCAGAAGTAATAACTTACCTTCAGTTAAACCTCAGTATGTCAAATACCGAAAAAATATTTTTCAAAACTCTGCTCCCTCCCAGAATATTTTATTATTAAATGAAACTTTTATACTCACAGCATCAGCCTCAGCTTTTTCTCTGGAAACTCTCCCACCTGCCACTATTGATTCCAGTGCTGTGACCCAGCGCTGTTTGTCAGGGAAGCTGGGTGCTAACAGGTAGAGTGTTCTACCAGGCCAGCAAGTGGTGTGTGGATGAGACTCCAATTTTAGGATATATGGCACATCTGAGATGTTATATAGATAGAATAAGACTTAGATTAGTTTTTGGAATATTGTCAGTGGACTTAAAATCAACACCTTTCAGCCTCATTGGAGAGAAGTTGTATTTATCATGACGTGTTACCATGGCAATTTATACATAGGTTTCTCCTTTTACAGGTCCTGCACAGTCTAGCTCCTTAAAGCTAAATATTAGCTGGATGTATGCAATCCATAAATACAATGCTGTCTTTACTAAATAAAAATAATTTCTTGCCTTTTATTCATAAGAGAAAGAAATTCCATTGTGAAAAAAAGTACAAAAACAGCCATTTGACTAAAGTTTTCCCTGTACTGTTCAAGAAAAATCTGTAAAAATTGGTTATGGAAACCTTGGTTTTTAACAGTCTGTATCCTTTAATGTTAAAGTCAAGACATACATAATCTTTTCATCAGTTCTATTCAATACATACAAATCAAAACATCAACATGTTTTCATAATAAGAGACTGTATACACCCCACAGTATTTCTAAGGTAATGACTTTCTGGTTAGAGCACAATGGTGGCATGAATTATGACACTTCACACTTGATAGAGAGCATTGAGAGAATAAATTTAAATAAACCGAATGCTTTTAAGTATGTTACAAAACTCTTAAAATTTACTTCCATTTGGTTTGATGATTATATTATTCACAGTTCAACTACCATGACAGAAGCAACAGCCTGTGTGTAACTAAATCTAGATGACTGACCTATTCATGTAATTCAAAGAGAGGTAACCTCAAAATTACAGAGTTACAGAATGCAAGTTAAAGGGAGAAAATTCTGTTCAGCCAAACAGAATGCCAGGTGATGGCAAGCCAGATGAAATCCATTTGACTTCATCTACATAATATTCTCACCTGTCTTTGCTGTATTGGTAAGTTCAGTAGCTCCTACAGCTCCATGAACAGTCACATCACCATCAGGAAGGCAGAGCTCAAATTCCTCCAGAGGCCTCTGTCCAGCTGCAGGAGAATGGGGAGACAGATTACAAAAGAACAAACAAGTAGTAAGAAAATAACTGTGACAGCAGAATCAAGTGGCTACACACTGGATGCGTCACAGCTGGATTATTATAACATTCCAGCTAATAAAACTGCTAAGGATCTACAAAAACAACGTGGCCTTATCATAGATTTAGCTAAATTAGGTATGGCCACAGCAAGCAGTGATGATCTTTAAGCATCTCATCTCACCAAACAAAATCTGAAGATTTAAAAAAAAATGTTCTTGCTAGAAATGCTGTTACCTTCTCTTGCTTCTGCATCATAAATGAGCACTTTCGTTCCTTCCAGAACAATATACTTCCTGTCCCAGCCCTGTTGTCCACGTTTATTATTCCTGAAGGAAATAAAGCACAAAGCCAGGTTGGATTTTCTGCTTGGATTCAGAATAAAACAAGCATGCAACTCCTAGAAAGACAAATTTCAGTGGTAGTACATAACTGTAATGGGCATGTAGCAATTATCACATTGTAAGAGCCAAGGTAAGATAAGGAACTGTTCCAAATATTTCAGCACCTGATATGGCAACGAGATTCATGTTTATACCTTGGCACTTTCATCCATCCTTCAAGACGCAGACTGCTGCTTGGCTCCTTCAGCTGCAGACCAGGAGAATTCATTTTATCCCGGCAGAATGCTTCAGAGAAGTGCGTGGCATATTCTGCTGGCAGTCCACAAGTAGCTGGCAAGCAAGTTGAGCATTTTGGGTGACACATCACCTGGCATTCTGACAAAAGGACAGAGAAAAACTTCTGTTAAAAGACAAAAAATCATGACACAGCTGCCTCAACTTCTAACGCACAGATCCCAGTTTTTCCAAGAATCTCCTTCTACTCTAAACCATCAGATGTTTTCTGATGTAGAATGTTTGCACCAACTAGTTCCAAGTCTTCATACTTGATCCTTTCTTCAGCTTTCACCAAAAATCTGTTCTAGACGGCTGATGCTTTTTCATTCTACCATTATACACACACTCTGCTCTTACCAAGGCATTTAGATGCCTGCCGTCCAAAGTGCACAGTATCCAGACACACCGCACATTTTGTTGCTCTCATATTTAGCCCCACGTTAAAACGATGTGGGATATTATGATGCATTCGCTCTTTCAGGCGTCGGCTGTACTCTGGAAGGTATAAAATTTATTATCAGGATGAAAACTGTGATAGGGATGAAAATTATAGTAGGTTTTGTCATTTTAAGGCCCAGGTAATAAAAAGTGACTACATATCTCTGTCAAAGCCCTGCTGAACATAGGCACTGTCTATTTTCCTTTGCAATCTGCACATCTTAAGCTACATTACCACCTCAGTAATTACCTTATACAGATGCACAGAATGTGCTGCTTGAGAACAGACTGTAGAACTGAAATGGCTAATGTTTGCTGTAGCAAGATTATGTCAATCAAACCATCTAAATTCCAAGTCTGCACTCAGCTCCAATTCTTACAATATGCTAAACTCATCTCTCAATTTTGGTTATAGCTAACAAACCCTTCAACACCTATACAGTCGTAATCAATACACAGCAGGCCGCCTTCATACAGCCCTCATGCGAGCCATCAGTGCCAGCATATCTTAAAGCACACCTAAAATCCCTGTTAGGGGATCTATGTTGAGCGGAGTTTATCCTTCAAGGCTTTTACTGATGAACATGATTTTCTTTGCTGTCTGTGATCTGCCTCTGAGGACATCTTCCCATACCCAAGTTACCCACCTTGTGCCTCCCCAGCTACCTCTGATGGCCAGAGCAGTTTGTGGGTTCTGGCTTTTTCGAGCTAAAGGCTGCAGGTTTTGGTTCAGTCTCTGGTTCAATGCTCACTCTGGAATACTGGTTAACTAAGAATAAATGAGCGGAGCCCTCAATCCTTCAATTTCTTCCAATGATCCTCTCCCTTCCATTCTCAAGGATATACAAGGTTATCCCCTTTTTCTAGTTGATAGCATATTAATGTTGTATTTGACCTAGTATCTTCCTTTTATGCCTCACAGAAGTCTTTTCCCTTTACCAAAAGTCTTGATAGAATCTTTCCGCTCAGCAGAACAAATCTGCGGTTTAGATGTTAACTGCTAAGGAAACAACCATAAATCCTTTTGATCAATGCAGAGAGTAGTACAGAAAACACACTCCTCTGAAAAAAACAAGCTCTTAAAACAATTAATGCTAAATAATTATTTTATTGCTGAAGTTTCCAGGGGTAAGTTATATAATCCAAATAGAGAATTTTAAACCAAAAGCAAAACTTATCTAATATTCCTATCATGAAAAAAATCTAGGATTGAAATTAAAAAGAAGAAATCGCATTGAAATAGTAGACAGAAAAGCAGTAACAGAAAAGTTCAGCAAGAACCTACCCTCTGGTGTGGAGGATTCCTTCCTGCGACTGGAGGGCGGCGCTAGCAAACTGATTGGAGTAGGCTGGTGCTCTGGCGAGCGGACTATGGCAGACATGATGATCTGCTGCCTGGCTGTGGCTGGAGTAGATGGATGAGGGTGGTCTGATATTTTCCGATGAGCAGCTATAGACGAGATAAATGCCACTCATTAACATAACCAATATGAAACACTAGTTCATAGCAGTGGTTCTGTGTAACCAGTCAGTGGTTACAGCCCGCAGAAAAAAGTGCAGCCTTATTGCATCTTCACAGCAGTAGATTAGAATTAAACAACATATGTTACTGCTATAGTGGCATACAATTAAAGGCACGTTTTCAGACCAAAAACGTGCGTCTCCTTCCAGATTCACCTTTTCTGTTAACCCCTACCTTCTTCACGAGCAGATCTGAGCTCAATGCGTGTTTTCTGTAGAGCTTCCTCCAGCTCAGCAGAACGAGCCTTCTCCTTCTCCAGTGCCACTTTCAGCTCATTGTATTGCAGGGGAACCTGTGTGGGTAAAGAAGGGTCCTCTTTCCGCCGACTAAACAGGCCCTAGCAACAGAAACACACAGACAACTCCTAACTCCTAGTAAGAGATGGCTTAAACTAGGCATAGTGAAACTAGCTAGTGGCAGTCCGGCCAGAGGGCCTAATGGTAATTCTGATATGCGTAAGGATGGATTTTTAGTTCATATTGGCACTGGAGAGAAAATGTTGAGATATGGATTAATTTAAAGGAGGGACGTACGTTACCTGTTAGTACTCACACCTTGAGTTTCAGAAAGCATCTAAACAGAGGATCTCAAAATACTTGGTTAAAATTAAATTACTTAATTCAAAATGACAGAACGGTTTATGACAAAGATGTGACACAAGTCACATCGCCTGACTAATCAATCCTATGCTGTAACTACAAGACAACCACTCTAGATACACAATATGTTCATACACACATACATACTTACCATTAAAAATAAAAGCATAGTTAAAATTCTGTATTTCTACAGCCTCACTGAGGTGTAGCTACTGGGTTGTAACATAAGTAACATTGTAGGAATAACAAAATACTGGAAAAGCCACAATGAACACATTCTGCCTAGAAAAGTTTGTGTTCAGCAACGCAGAATGCTCTTAAATGAGGACACATTTGTATTACACAAAGAAAAATAAAACAGAATATTATGAATACACAGCACATAACTCATCACAAAACCATCATTTAATTCCATGCCTCTCAAACCTTTTTCACCCACCTTTTTCTTTTTCGCTGGTTGGTCCATCTTTGCCTGCAGGAAATCAATAAGTTTGGTTTGCTGAGAAATAGTGCCCTCCATTTTCACTTTTTCATGGGAATAGAGAACCTGTGAACCACACATACGTAGAAGAAATTTCATCTTAATAGAAGAAACAAACAAAAAATTCAATAGCAGAAAAGAGCTAAAAAATAGTATCAGGAAAGTGTCACACAGAAACGGTAGATCACATCTGGAAGCACAGAGTCCTGCCTACTGCTTCCTCATCCTCACCTGAATGTTTTCCAGCTGATATTCCAGGTCACTTCTTTCAGTCTTCAGAAGATCTGCTCGATCTAGGGCCTCTTGCAGACCTTGAGTTAGGCGGAAGATGTGATTCTTTTGCAAATCCATTTGCTGCTGCAGCTTTGCCTGCTGTTAAGAGGAAAACAAAGGCCAGTGTTTTGGTTTTGTTGTTTGTTTGTAATAACAAATAAAAGCTATTAAAACTTATCACTCTTTATAAAATACACATCATTGGAGAACTTAAAAGTAAACAGACAATTCTTTAAAAGCTAGAAAATTACAGTATTCTAGAAGTTTTCCTTCCTTTCAGAATCATTATGACTAAACAAGCATTTCTATGTAGTCTATTTACATTGATCTGTAGTAACACCATTTCTTTCAACTGCACATTCAAGTTATTTCCTTTTTTAAATATTTAAAATCTTGTAATTGTTAATAAGACTGCACATACATGAAGAAATTTCTTGATGCTGTTCTCAAGCTCTCTTTACAACCACCAGAAGCCATCTCAATACTTTGTAATGAAAAATAGATAAATTATTTCCTATACCGGGATAAACTCCTTCCTCTACAGTCGTATAAGAAAATCTATGTCCAATTGTTTACATCTTTGTTTCCAAGTAGAAACAGAAAAGGGCACATGACAAACTACTCATTCTTTCAGGTTTTAGACTTTCTTAATGAGAAAGTCCCCCAGTATGAAAACCATTAGGGCTCATACGTTATAAAGCAAGAGCCATAAATCTTTCACTGGGATACATAATGTAGTTCTCAACCCTGGGACACCTTGTCAGTACCCCAAGTACCCCAAAAGGCTCTAATTGCCCTGTCTAATTGTCTGTAACCACCCTTCCCCCGAAAGCCTCCTCTGCAACCTCTTCACCCACTGCCCATGTCTGGCTGCGTGCACCCAACACCTCACTGATAGGGTGCGGGTGTGTAACCTTGGATCAGACTTCTGTCAACCCAGGTAATTATGAAAAAAGCTGTGAGAAGCCTCACCTGTGGCCTCCACCCCTGCACCCTCAGCACACTGGCCCCAGAGCTGTTCTTAAGCTGCAGTGTGTGCACTCGGTCTGGTCAGAGCTATGCTGTAAGCATGCCGTGCCTGGGCACGGCCCTTGCCTTGCAGACCTGACTAGGACGTGCCTCATCACTACAGTCTTCTGTAACGATCACGGGGCCACTGGCTGAGCCCGATTACCTTCACCAAGCCTGCTCTGCTCTTCTTCAGGTACTGTGGCACTGTGCCCACTGGCTGCAACATCCCTGTCCTTGCCTGACCTTCTGTCACCCTTGACTGCCAGCTCACCTGCCCTTGAGGAGCAGTCCACTTTCACTGCTCTGACGCAACCACACACTTTGCAACATTTTAAGTAAAAACAAAGCCCTCAACTTTATTATTGTACCCAACTTTATTATTGTGCCCAGTAACACAGCAGAAGGAGGGATGTGTAACACTGCTATTCACACAACTTTTCCCCCTCAAGATGTGGAACCTTCTGCATTTATGAGTTTCCAAGGTTACCTCCTCCAGAAGTCTCTGCTTGAGCTCTCTTTCTGTCTCAAGCTTCTGTTGTAAACTGCGTGCATTCATCTCCAACATAGCATGCTTCTTCTCCAGGTCATTGAGCTAGGCAGGTGGGATAGATAGTGGAATAATATTGAACACTAATAAATATAGAGTTCCACAATGCTAATGCAACTTCACCAAGCACATGCTAAAGAAAAATGATACAGTCACTCTTTACTTACTAAAAGGGGGGAAAACCAACCAAACTATTTTGATATGCCATTGCTCAAATGCAGATATCAAGTTTTTGAAGGACTTCACTGTACACTCCAAGCATCTTGGGATGCTTTCTGCTTTAGTCTTTTTTAAAAGGAAATCCGAGGTCTTTGGCTCAAAGACAGAACTCTATTCTATGACCTTCAGTCTTTAAATTTACTCTAACATCTTGAAAAAGCTGCTCAAGACCACATTTCTACAAGTAATATCTCTAGAAAAGTATCTCATCTAATCATGAAAGTCTAACTTACCTTATCAGAAAGGCTCTCAGCTTTGAGTTTTTGTTCCTTTAGTGCTTGCTGGAGGGCTAGAATTTCTGCCTTGTGTTCTTTGACAGCTAGTTCTACCACCTGGCGAGATTCAGTAATACGCTGATCTGCTCTCACTCTGTATTAAAATGGAAAATAATGTTACCTAACTCCTTTCTGGGCTTGACCTCTTCTTAGCATGCAGTGACATCAATAACTCTTTCAGGGGTTTGCCTCAAATTCAGGATGTTACTTTATAAAGCCTGCCTGTTTGCTGCAACCCTTTTATATTCTATAACCCTGTTCCTGCCCCTGCTAGAACTACAGTCTGAAAATTTCAAGACCCCACAGGAGCAGTTAGGATCAAAGACTGTTTTTCCATATAACAAAGTAGAAGATAATAAATCAAGACATTTTATAAGTTACGATGATAAATACCACTCCCCACAAATCCCTCGCTTGCAAAGAAACAAAAGGAACAATATCACTGGTGAATGACTATTAACTAATAAACCATTTTTAGAACTACCTCACAAGAATTTATATTTAGTATCAACTCCCATATCCTATTCTAAATATAATTTTTGTACTAGCTTCTATAGAACATTTTCATAAAAGTTAATAAAAGGAGGAGGAGGAGGGAGAGACCTGCTCTGTTTCTCAGTATCCAGCATCCTCTGCAATTCTCTAACTCGACATTCAAACTGGGACTTCTCATCTCCTAGAACATTTCTCCATGCTTCCCACTGACGCTCTTTCTCCAAGAGTTCATCATTCAGGGCCTCCAAGTCCATTACTTGCTCTTCCAGCATTGTACATGTTGTCTTCAAGGCCTCCATAGTCTAAAAATAAATCCTCCTATCAATTCTCACATCCCACATGAAGCATGCACTTTAAGCTTCAGCCTTACCATTTAAATTAGAGTACATGCAAATTGGCAGCAAACATAAGCTGGTAAATCACAACCCATTTATTTCAAGGCTTCCATACATTCACTTGTGATTGCCGTTAATGTCAGTTCTATCTCATTATGAAATTTTTGAAATTTCCAGGGTCACAAAATTAAAATGCATACTTTTAAGTTACAACATCTTCAAGAGTACAAAATTTCTAAATAAAATTGCATGAAAATACAATGAGAAATACCAAAAATTTCCATTCACTCAACTGCTCTAGGAAGGAAGGCTTAAACGATAACTGGTATAAGCCATTGCTAGTGGAAGCATGTTCTTTCCTTACAGTTTCCAGATTAAAAATAATTTTTTGTCTTTCAAATAATTCATTAGCTATCACAATGAGACCGTGATCTGGACTTATAAAGCCTTACTTGTTTCTGACTGGTAAGCTGCATCTCTCTCTCAGTGATCTCTCGACGGAGATGGTCAACTTCACTTCGCAACTGGACAACTTCATCATTGGCCCCTGAGGCCTCATCAAGTTGTTTCGACAAGAAGAAATTCTGATTGTTCAGTTCTGCATTATCTTCACTGAGCTGGTTCAGCTGCTCTTCCAAATCCGTAATCACCTAGAAAGAAAAATAAATTAAAATACATGTCAGTGAGTACAGTTTTTTGAAAAAGTGTTCTCATAAAGCCATTTATTGTCAAGCAAGGAGACAGCCTGGCTTTTAAAGTTTTTCAAATTTAAACAAAAACAATGTTGTACTGGTAGATTTTATGCACAGAAGTATACCTCAATTAGGAATAGATTTGTTTCTTACAGAAAATAGCTTGACTTTTTAAAAATTTGGTTTAGATTATAAATATGCTCCAATGCAATTTATTATTTGAGAGGGAACTGTCACATCTAAAGCACTGGATTGGGAACCAGGAGTTGTGGCTGTATTCTCAGATCTGCTGCTGACTTACAGCATGGCTTTGCCAAAGCACTTTACCTTTTTTTGCCTCAATTTCTCCTTGAGTGAAATGAGGATAGTACATCTCAGAAAGGCTTTTGAAGTATGTTATTTAAGAAAATTGAAAAAGAGGTGCAATGGAGGAAGTAAAATCTGATGAATCTGCTTAGCAATCGTTTATATTACTATATGTAACCAGGAAATGCAGAAAAACTTTAGGAAGTATATTCTATCAAAGTAACAGCGTTATGGATGGCAGCATGGGATACAAAGAATGTGGCAGCACAACAGACTTAACAGAAAAATCAGTGAAAGGCAAAAATTCAACGGGGACAATAGCCTTGCCTTTAATGATGTGAAAGCATCCATTTGTTTAATCAGAATAGCATTATACAGTAACTCAAAACCAACGTCATCACAACAGAAGAGAAAGGAACCTCAGTATAATCTTGAAATCAGCTTAATAAAGAGAATTTCAGAAACCGGAAAGCTCTATACAATTGATATTCAGTTCTTACAAATATGTTCTAGAGGCTTTTTTGCCTAGATGTCAAAGAAAAGTGAATAAGATACTTCATTAAATGGGAAAAAATAAAATCCCAGAGCACAGTTGGCCACACATTCAAATTTAAATGTTCCAATTCCCTACACAAGCCAAAGACTTAAATATCTAAAGCAGTAGAGCATAGAGCATGCAGCTCTTCTCAGCTATCTGGAAAGATGACAACCATTTCTTTTTGAAGAATCCGTAATGCATATATTGGCAGCCTTTTACCATGCCTCTCCTAGATCTAAATTAACAGTATTTGGTTTTGAAACTGTCAGCAGAAAAAGTCCAACTGACATTACTCCCTGCTGGGTGAAGGGGAGTTCCTACTACCCATATGTTTAGGGTCAAATCAAAAGGATTCATACGCTAAAACACAATATATCTAATGAAAATCTGATTGTGTGGTTGTTTCTTGAGCACACTTACTGCCCTATTCAAAATACATATTCTATGTATTCTATGCCTCAAGTTTTCAAAGAACACAGACTGTGTCATAAGGATGTGTTAGTGACTATATGGCTGTAGGGATAAGACCTTAGAAGTGTATTTATACAAACAGAAAGGAACAAAATAACATCTGTTTTTACAGTGTTTTACCTGCCATTCTTACAAGTAACATCTGAGACTTCTATTGACTGCCAGGTAAGATAATATTTTTCTACTTCTTTTATGTTTAGCCACACCACATGTCTAGGCAGTTTTAAGATATCTTTTATATATCTGTGGTTTCTTCCACCTATATTTTATATATTAATACAAATATATTCTATAAAAATTAAACTAGTTTTGAAATACAAGAAAGCAGACATGGGGGAAACACAAAATGGAAAAGGTGACATGCAGAATTAATGTGTCAAACTACTTAATTTTTTTAAACTGGCTGTATTTCAAGTTGATTTTATCCCTTAAGGGCTCGAAGTTAAGCTGCCATTTGCCTTTATTCTAGATTCTAAGATTTTGACTTCTTTCCCTAAATAAAAAATTAAACCAGACCATTTTAATTTCACTGTTACATTTTATCTAGTAGGATATTTCTGGAAAACTTAAGACAAATAAAAAAGCAGGGTTCCAGAAGAAGTGATGTGATCTCCTTCCTTGAATATTTTCCTAACAGTATATTTATTGACAATTCCAAAATGACTCAGCTTAAATTCCAAATACATTATATAAATTTTTTGTACTTTTTTAAAGAGTGAAAATTTGTTCTTCTCAATACAATTTTCCTTTTTTTCATGGGGAGAGGGGAAACTTGTTGACAAATCCCATTATTAAAAGCTACCTAGAGCTGTGTATAACCCAACAGGGTTACAGAATTTAGAGACACTATAAAGCCTGAATAGCAATAGATAATACTGACACTGGAAAATGGGACATGGTATAAATGCCTGTTTTGGGAACCAAGAAGAAAGCAAACACAGATCAAAAAATCACATTTGATAGGAAATGCTGTCTTCAGCATACATACATACATACATACAACCTATGCCAGAATCCCATACCTGAAAAGGTTTAATACCTTTAGGTATTTATCTTTTCACTTAAGGAAATCCCCAGGCAAAAAATAACCCAAATAAACCAACCAACCAACCCTGAGCTATTCTGCAATTAGTTTTGTAAGTACATTAAAGGAAAGTCTTTAAGAAAACTATTATATCATTTAGAAACCTGTAATATAATTACAAAAATCTTCACATTTAAAGTTTATAAAACAACCAAACACTTGAAAGCTTCGAAAAGCAATTCCAGACAATCTAGGCAGCCTTATCTCTGTCACTGTATCATCACTCAGAGCAACTGAAATTTTTTCCTCAAACTATGCTCATCTTCATCATGACTAATCCATAGGAGAGATAGAATCTAACTACACCATGCTAATCCGGCAGATTGTTCACTACACGCCACATCTAAGCAGACAACTTATCTTTATACTGATACAGAAGACTGTATCTCATTTTTTAAATATTACAGAGCAACCCAAGCATAACAGCTTTTCAGCAAAAATTCAGCACAATTCCCTCCCCATTAAATAGCCTCAGAAAAGCAAAGTGTTTCTCTATTGTGAGATTGCACAGATTCACAGCTATTATACCTGGCCCTACAAAAACTTCTCCAGGCAAGCATCACAAATTAAATATAGCAACAAGCAGTTCACGGCCATGATGATTATGTTTGCTATCAGACAATGTAAAAAAATTCATCCATATACTCCATGTATCAAAATCACACGCAAAATAACAAGGGAAAGGAGAAGAGGAACCAGTTTTAGAATACTACTAACTGCAGCCTGCAAACCTTTCCATAACCTCATTCCTTCATGAAGATGTCTCAGTTCTCAGATACCAACAAACACGCAGGAAAATGCCAGGACACACCAAGGTTAACTGTTTCAGGATGCTATCGGCAGCATGTTATTTCGAGTTTAATGAAATTTTTTGTAAAACCTTAATACAGAACTTCCAGACTAATGCATAGTTTTACTCTATCCATTTCCACTCCTCCCCACCCTCATTAATCTTTACTAGAAAACTAACTGTCAGAGTTAATAGGAAAAAAGAAAAAGCTGTCTCTCAGCCCCAAATTATTGTGAGAAGGAAGCAAGAGCAAGCATCAGACTCACTTTGTCTTAACATACTCACAATTTGGATCCAAGAGACAAAGCTTTTCTAGCAGGGAAATACCAAGACTCTTAACGAACACTGCTGTTCACAGATACCAGTCTTGTATCTCTACCTGTCTGATGTATATATAAAAATGAACTCCTCATTTTCTTCCCCTTTCCATAGTCAGACAACATCTGTGACTTGAAACACACCTTACACAGAGATCTCAGTCTCCAAAATCTCATCATGGCTTAGCTTGAGGGACATTGCTCTTGTTAGTAGCTGCAGAGTAGTAGGACACTGCACAGTCTGCATTCTTCTCCTTCCCACACCAACCTATCATTAAAACATGGTCTCCTGTACTCCTCTGCTGTAGTTCTAGATGAGCTGCCTCTACAACCATGAGCCTCAGCCTCAAATGATGATGATGATGTCATCTATGGTGAAGGTCCCAGTAGCTTCTTTCACAGCAACACTCTGACTTTTTGTCAGGCTACAAAAACTACAAAGCTCCAGTTCAATCTGTAACTGGCATCTGCCATCACATTTTCTGTGTAATGAGAATCAGGCATAACCCCTTCCACCCAACAGCCAATTTTTTTTTTTTTCTTTTTTTTTACAAATTTAACAAAGCCATCTCAAAGTTTTTGCCTGGGTATTTAGCCTTGTTACAGTGGGAAAGATCCCTTTACTCTGAAACATAATTTAGCTTCAAAGTATAAAACATCTTCAGATACAATTTTGAAAGTTCTTAAGAACACAGACTATTCTTGTATGCCAACTCATTGAGCCAATGTGGAATCAGGATCTTAGACCAAAATCAGCAGGACTTTATGCATGACTAAAATGATACGTGTGCCTAACGGGCTTGCAGATTTAATGCCTCAATATCCAGTCTCATAGACAAGTGCAGAATCAAGCTTGTTAATACTTAAGATACTTAAGTATTAATGTTAATACTTAAGATGATGACAAAAGAACCTCAAGGAAGATAAACCTTGTTTTATTGGAGAAATCTTAAAAAAATGGGAATACAATATCCAATGAGTATTAAGAAATGCCACTCTCCTTGCTAGAGTAAAAACAACTGCCTGTACCTGAAAAAAACTAGAATATTCAGATGGTGGTTCCCTGGAATAACAATATTATTTTACTAAGCTTTGTGTAAATACTTTATAGAATTCTTTTCTTCTAAATATTTATAGACTTTACCATCCGCTTACTGAATATTTTATTTTTGAAACAATTCTACTCTTATTTAGCTAACTTAATTTTATTTTTAACTTCAAATGTGTTGATGATCCAGCAACAAGCTGTAATTAAGAGGCAGTTGGAAACAACTGACAAATACATAAATTTTCCTATTTCAGAAAGTGCCTTTTATTTCTTGATCTTTTTCTGATTGCCAGGAAAATACTTTTAACACTCAATGGATTATATTTTTGATAGAATAACTCTTTAAATGTAGAAACTAGTCCTTCTCTCTCAACAGATTTGCTGGTTGAACCATCATTGTGAGAAGATTATGATAAAATCTTGCTCTTCATGTGAGCCCACATGCATCTGTGTGTGTGTACAGCAGGTACTACAGTCTACAATTTTTATTGTAATTATGTATCCTAGTATTTCTTGCACAACTGAGAGGCAGAGAAAGCAAATGCTGGCATTTTCTTTTTGACCCCCAGTAGTAAAACAAAGATGTCACAAGATGAAACAATGCAGAAATATCAGAGCAACTGAATATAAATTCACAAACAGGCAGAAATTACAACTGACAACATAGCAATGGTCTTTATGTATGCACCCCAAAACACAGCAAATTTAAAATGAACAAATAGGAGAACCTAAAAAATGCCTACTTCGTCAGAGACCTCAGCATAAGGAAGAAGAGTGCAATGAGGGTACAAGGAAAGCAGACACACAGTTGAGGTGTAAGCCTTCTCTACAATTGCAAAGTGTGACCTTTGTGAAGCTAGAGAAACAGAAGAAATACCAAAGAAAGTATTTACCTTTTGAATACTATGAAAGTACTGAAGTAATTCAATCTTTAATTTTTTTTCTGGTCTAATCCTTTTTTCATAACATATGTTGTTCTGGGCTTCTCAATAAGATTAAATAAAAACCAATTCCATACCAATGTTTGCCAGGCTAGTTCAAGGAGTTTGTTTCAGCTTAAAGGGGGTATCTTTTGAAAACTTGCTGACAGAATAAACCCACTCATTATCATGCTGAGTAAGTACCAGCAGATTACAATTATTCTCTTGAAGTGTTATCTTATTTTAAAAGACGTATAAATTCTAATCACTTTCAATTAGAATCACATGGTCGCCAAAAAGCAAAGTCTGCATCATACTGGTCACAATCAGAAAAATGAGGTTGGAACTTCCAGTGAAGGCACCATAATAAATGTTGCCTGATCCCTCACTGTCACTAGAAGATTGTCCTCTATCTTCTCTCCATGATCCTCAGTAGACGGGATGGAGAGCTAGAAGAACTACTCATAACACAGAACAAGAAAGTTTCTATCCATGGTTAGTTAAATTATACATGCCTTCTCTGGGCTGGAAAGAGAATGTATGATGAGCATGTATTATTCATTTAGGAACTATTTAATTAATTTCTTATTGATGAGGATGTCTGATCCCACTTATCCCACTGAAGGGCCTTACAATGCACAACACTTTTAGACATCCTTTTGTGCAGAACCTTTGAAGCACTCAGCATTCTTGAAATGTCACGGGTCACTTCGCTGCTGGAGATTGTTCACCACACTTACAGAGCCAAAGTGTTACTAGATAATGAGTTACAACCTCTGAAAGGCAGCCTACCATGCAGTGAAAAGAAGCTATAGATTTTCTATAACTGGTTTTTGCCTGCATGGAGACCACATGAGCATTTTCATAGAAAGGTGTCTTTCTCTACAAAGGGCAAGAGAGAACAAAAGAAGATAGCTATGGAGGTGAGATACGTGATAGCACATATGGAGCTAGAGGACCAATCTAAGTAAATAAAGAAGGGAACAAAATGTAAAAGTTTCTTGTGCAGGATTTCTTTTAGATAGAGGTTAACACACTACAGTAAATTCTATCTCCTCATTTCTTCATGTCAGCATATTCTACAAACAGAATAGATGAATCCCCTTGCTCAGTGCTGAAGAGCAACTGAGGAAAACAGACTTTCATCCTGAAAAGATATTTTTGAAAGATGAAAACTTGCACTTTAGATAATTTTTCATGCTGTAGATCTAAAGTAAGTGTGAGGAAATCACTGGAATTAGGGAAACAATCAAGATAAAAAACCAGCCGTTAAGCCCTGCTTATAGGGTGGGGTCAGGAGGAAAAGCCTAGGATGACTGGCAATCAGTGCTGATCCAGAGGACAGTGCTGGTTCTGTAATTCATGTAATTGAAAGACAGATGCTGTCCATCAAGCACCATAAGCCTGAAGATAGTGTAAATCTGCAAGAATCCTTATTGATTGACAAACCCTCCAACATCTGTCCTCAACAGATGAAATGAATCTAAAAGCATGTCAAAAGATCTCAAGCAATAGAAGGTGCAAATTAAGACCCTAGAGTACACTCTGCTCTTTGAGCAGATGACTACGTGTCAATGTATTATTTGGAACCATAACATTTCTTGCCTCTTCAAACAGTGTTAAAGTCCTCCTTAAAACCCAGAGTAACATGAAGGCTCTTCCACTCTGGACTAGATCTACAATGCAGCTCAGGATTTGGACAGGTAGATCTTTTCTTCTTGTGACCAGAAAGGATCTTCACCTATAACCATTTTTTGCAGCTGCTACACCATTCTTATTAGCCACACTGCAATGGGATGTTTTAATTTACTTTCTTCTCCAAAAAGAAGAGCAGTGTGGATTTCATGATCAGACTAAAACCTCAAAATTGAGATTTACCTGAAACCTAAAAGAAATCAAATCCAATCCATCTAGCTCCTACTAACACCTTGGAGCCAGAAGTCCACATTAGGAATTAGTGTAATCAAGGATTAAATACGTAAATTGTTTGTGTCCTTATTGTTAATTTCAAAATAATTCAATGATCTGTGTTTAATACTCACTGTGCAGCTATTACGAAGGGCTTCAAATTTACGCTGGATTTCATCTCTATGTGCCTAAAGGAGGTAAGAAGTTAATCATCAATTTTTCATACATTAGAATTCGAATCCAACAGCTGTTGCTAAACAAACTGCAGAACAATCTAACAGCAAGCAAAGTTTGGAAGGCAGATGCTGCAGGCTATGAAAGCACTCTGTAGTGGCAAAGAACTGATTAGCAAAAGTCACATCCTACTTAATCAAAACACACACTCCCAATTCTGAACTACTTTAGAAAAATGTACAAACTTGAGAACGAAATTATGTAAAAGGTTCCATCTGAAATGGACACCAGAAGATGTCAATTCCATGTTAAGTTTGTACATTCTTGACATTTAAATTTGAGTTGGTTTTACTTCCATATCTAGACTGGTATCTCATAGAAAGTAAATACTGCATACAACTTAACACTTGCAAAGAAAAACTATAATGAAGTATTATGCAAGCTATCCTGAACAGCTCTGTCAATCTACATGATTCCTACCATAAAGTACCATTTAATCCTGAGCCTCTCTAAAAAGCAGTGATGAAACATAACAATCAATTCTTTGGAAGACAGCATCCAAAGTATGGAAAAGTGCAAATGCTTATTTTAAAGAATGCAGTATTGCATGCACCATTTTACCTTCTAATTTACGAGCAAAGCATGACAAAGCAAAAGTTCTTGTTTCAGCCTCATGGCCTCTCTCAAAATTCATCAAACTGATTTAACAAGAGTCTAATGTCATATGATATCTGAAAACTTAACAAAAGAAAGGTTAGTGCACTAGCACATCCAGCCACCTTTCTTCATTCAGAACATTTTTGTTAGAGCCAAGAGACTAAACAGGAAAAAAAATGTTCAACAGAAGTCAAATATGAGAGCTGAAAAGCTATCTTACCACAACAGGCAACGTGAAAACCAAAAAAAAGTATATTAAAAAAAATCCGTAACAGAAATACTCCCAAGCCCAAACTGGACTATCTTACAATAGCTGGTCCAAAAGCACTATCATTTTGCCAAATTATCTGAAGCAATAACTGAGTGAACACAGGTTATGGTAAAGATACCAAGCACATCGCCATCCTGTTGGCACTGATATTAGTTCTTACACAAAGCTTTCAGCTGGGAGGGAACCGCCTCAGTTTTGAGCAAAAAAGAAACTGATGCCATGTTCCATTCAGCTACCCTTAAGCCTTGATGTTGTTGCTGTCTTTTCCCAGCATGTACCCGCTTTAGAACCAAACCGAGTGAACAGTTCTCCCATTCATCTACCCAAAGCATCAACACAGTACAAGCACCTATCTCAGCTGAGCCCACCATCCCTTCCAAAAAATAGCAGTGGCAGAAATATTCGGAGCAGTTCATTGATCAAGTGACACTGGAGCAAGAGAATGCACATTTTCAACACTCCAAAATAACTGGATTTGAAGGTCATTAAAGACTGCTGTTCAGTGGGAGTTAGCTGGTAGCAGGTCATATACTTCCCCACTCTCTCCCTCCACAGCCCTGGGAATCTTTAATGAAGGAAATATTTCTTAGAATCAAGCAGTTTGAAAACATCTTTTTGTACTCAAGAGAGAGCAACCAGCAGCATATAATTTAAAATTCCATTTACAGAGGGCAGGGAATTGAGCTTTTTTTCCCTTATATCATTCACACACCTCATCAGAGACTGCAAGACACACGTGACAATTTTTAATGAAATAATCATTGGAATAAAATTATGTTCTAATGACACTATTTTCCTAGGAATCTGTTGGGGTGTTTTTCCCAAAATAAGTATCATCAAAGCAGGGTAACAGAGAAAAAAAAAATCATCACAACATTTATGATCATCAAGTACTTTCAAACTCATGAGATTCTGTTTAAATAGTAAGTAAATCACCGAGTAAAACTCTTAAACAGTTTTCTATGCAGCTTTCACCTCTTCACAAAAGTAATAATGCTCTTACAAACAGTTTTGGCAGCAGTGAACCACTACTAGGAAGTTCTGGTATGGTTAAAGGTAATAAGACAAAATTTGACATTTTAGCCATTCCTGCCTCTATCAACACAAGGCACAATCCATATCCTGTTCTGAAACTTTAAAATTAAATAGTATACACTCATTTTAATCTCTTTATGAAACATGCATCTACATAATTCTAATCTGCACACATGGCTCATAGTACAAATTTTTTAGGGCTCACCGTGAGAGCTTGAATCTCTTCCTCTGCCTCAGCTGTAGTCTCCTCTAGTTCAGTTTTGGCTTCACGGAGCTGATTCTCCAGGGCTGTCCGTGCAGCCTGCAGCCCAGTAATTTGAGATTCCCGCTCCTGGAGTGTCAGCTGCAATTCTGTCAACTGTCTTTTGAGTTCCAGCTTTTGTTCTTCATGCTCTAGACTAACCTGAAGAAAGAAAAAGTAGCATACCAAATATAAGTTACTAATAAAGAAAATAGAGGCAATGTAATCTCATTTCAGACCTCACTTTAAGATGCTATTGCCATGTCTATCCCAAAAATCACATCTTGACAGATTGTTTAAGTCACTGAGAAGTCAAGGACACAGCTTTGTCTACAACCTAAAAATACTGGTTTGCTTTGAAAAAGGTTAAAAGCAACCTGGCATTCTGAAGCAACAACTAGGGCACAAGAATAGTTCTAGGTGTGACTCAAATATCACATATCAAACGTTGATATAAAATACTGATCAATACTAATCTTTACGTGCACGTAAAAATTACATACATTTCTCAATTGACTTTCATATTTCATTTTCCTTTCAGATTCTTTTTAAAGAAACCAACCAGATCATCTGGCTTTGGGTTTATTTGAATGGCTTCAGTTGAAGGTTTTCTTGAGGCATACTCAGGGATAAACATGTTATTTCCAGAAATGGATAAGAAATGAACAAGCAGCAGAACAGATCTCAGTGCTCAAAATCAATTCCAAACCTTAGCACCTTCTTCAGGCTGTCTGCTATCCCAAGTGAATCTGTCTGTTGTGCTGTAGATGCGCGACAAGCCTGCCAGAAATCTTACACTGGTCCCAACCAACTTCCGGTCAAACAAGGACATGTGTTGGTCGTCCAACCCTCTTAGCTAAAGGCAAGATTTCAGTCTTAGCTGAAAATTAGTGGAGTGAGACTGGAGAAGGTAAAAGAAGATTTGAAGTGGATCCAAACTAGTTGATACAAAACTAAAAATGAAGCACAGCTCACAAATTTTTAAAAATGCATATTTTCATATTACTGTTAGGTTTCCTTTCCAGAAAACTTCTGAAAAATGTGCATGAAGCAACAGGTCTCCTGTTTTCTTACAGCAATTCAGTTGTGTCCTTTACTTTCTATTCTGTAGACTCTAAGGCTATGGTTAAGCTGGTCACTGCACATAGCTGAACTTCTATTCTCTACCACCACAACCACTCTAGCTGGACAACTTTATGAGGATATTGTACAAAGAACCATAAATATGATCCTGAGAAAGCAAGGTGATCTAAAAGCTCAGATTCAGTTAGGTCTAAGAATGACAAATCCTTAATACTTACTTTTATCTCCCTCTAATGATCAATTTTAATTTTTTTTTTTTTTTTATTCCTAGGGGAAAAAAAAGTACTGCTAGACCAAACTAAATTAATATACCTTAAAATACTCTTTAAGACACACAGAACTAAAACGAATTAATTCTAGTTCTCACTATAATACTTAACGTGGGGTACATTCAAGTAAGTTTGTTTGGAGGGATTAAACCCAAGTTTTCACCTCTCGCAGCCTAGTCTCTAACTCCAGCAGGCGGTTCTTGTCAGTGTGATCTTGGTGACTCATCTTTTCCAATTGTTCTTCTAATTTTCGATTCTGGGCCTCTAACTTTCCAGCTTGTGTTTCCAAGTAGAACTTCTGTTGCCTGAGCTCTGATATCATCTCCTCTTGGGCTTTCCTAATAGGAGAAAAGCACAAATGACAAACCCAAAATGTCCTTAGCACAGGTCGTTTCACTGGGGGGAAGTAAGGAAGAATATACAAGGTTCCTGTTAAGTAGAATAGTTAAGGTCATAGCTTAAATTCTATATCCCAACCTAAAAAAAAGTCAACTCTTTATTCTTGCCTGCAAAAGATCCACATACTAATATACTCATCAACATATGCCCGGAGCACTAAAATTCCATGTTTGCATATTGCACAGAAAAATTAATCTTGTACACAGTAATCTACAACAACATTTAAGCTACGGTTCATTCTCATTTCACCAATTCCTTATTACATGTTTTTCTATACAGGAAAAAGAAATGCTAAGAACAGTTGCTTTCACACAACATATTTCTGAGATGAGAGAAACCCAATGGTTTAGGGTTTGAGGGGTTGTTTTGCTGAGGTTTTTTTCCAGTTGTAATGGACCTAGAACTTGACCTACATTGAAGTGAAGCTTTGTCGCCTCTGATGAAAATCTTAATCTACAAAGTGAAAAAAAATAATTACTTGTGCTCAGAAGAATTTTGAGAGCTGGCAATGATTAATTATTACCATAAGAATTTTAAATGAATACCCACATTTTAAAAAAAAAAAAAAAGAGAAAAGAAGGAAAAAAGGTCTTTCTACATTATTTACAATTCCTGGAATCATTTTATCGTGCATTGGAAATTTTTGCCTCATAGTGTGCTTTCTACTTAGAAGTTTCACAAAGCTCTACATATATTAATGAATTAATATTTTAAGAAGTTCACTGTGAGATAAGCTGTTATTAATCCTATCCCAGAGAAATTATGTGGGTTGCCCAAGATCAAACAGGAAGACTTAACAAAACTAAAAATAGAACTCAAGTCTTCTGACTCACATTTCTGTGCATTGCACACAAAACCACCCTTTCACCCTTTCTCTTTTAATTTACCTCTGCAGATTATTGCCAGTCAGAACTGTCAAATGGTGCTATTTCACTTCCTGATGTTTACTGGGCTCTCTTCTCAGGAGCCTGATAATCATTAGTTCCCTCTGATACTGATGGAACAAAAGCTAGCAGAGTTCCCCTCTCCTCTGAAGGGTTTAATCACTAGTTCTCCTCTTCAAACACGCTCAGATTAGCTGTAGCTTTTGTGGATTTCAAACACAGTCCAGCAACATATTTATACATTTTCACCACAATTTACAAAACAAGTACAACTTCATTAGCTACCTGCATGCATATTAAAGCAAGTTTCTCTTAAACTGTTAATTCCTGTCCTCTACCAATCTGTACTGTCTTCTACCAATCCATAAAATTATGTTTCTTGCAAACATTATATTTTTTTCTTGTTTCCTGTGGACCTCCAGTCAATTGTCCTGCTCTAGGAGGATGCATCTAGCTCAGCTAAGTTCTTACAGTCAGTTCAGCACCAATGACTGTGGCACTAGACCTTGCATATGCTTCTCAGGTACTCGTTGAGACATTACTTTTGTTCTATTTCAGATTGAAGGTAAGTTACGGCTTTTGCTGCCTGAACAAACTTCCTAGGTGATTAACTGGAGGTCATCTGGAGCATAAGCAACATAAATTTTTTATTTCTGTGAATATTTCTGGCTGCTCAGGCTAAAATAACTTGCCAAATATTTGAAATACAAAAAAAATTGGAGCCATTACATATCTGGAGCATAATTACCACTGAAAAGGAAAAAAAATAACCCAAGCAACTCTGCCAAAATTCATCCTTGCTTGATTTCTATTCAATATTATAGGTGAATTCATCCAAGTACCTCCCACAGAGACACTATCTGACATTGCATTCAACAACTGACATACACTGAAAATCTTTCTGCAAAAGCTGAATCTGATCAATCTCTTAACTCAGTAAGAGCGTGTAGTACTTTAGCCCTACCTTGCAGGACATAGAAAACAAGCCACACTTCTTCCTATACTTTAAGTAGAATGCCTTTAAGTCATTTATGAAGGAAAAACATCATTATAAGGACAAGGAACCTCAGCTAAAATCCAAAGCAAAATAAAGTTCATGCAGACCAAAAATATGACACAGATTTCCTTTGTGTTTAATAAACGAGTATTCACCACAAGAGCAACTGCTGATTACAGAGCGATTCAAGATGACATTAGATCTTAAACAGTAGTATACGCCAAAACTACTGAACTGACTATTACACTGGTCACTGATGAGAACTAAAGAGAGGCTGAAGTTGAGAAGGCAACAGAAATATTTGGGTGTTATCTGGGTTAGGAAGAAAACAAAATCAATTGAAGCAGCATTCTGAATCTGAAGCTGGGGTATATCCTACTTCACCTTACTTCTGTCCATTTCAGCAAAACACCTCAGTCTCACAACTGGCAATTCAAGAACATGCAGAAAAACTCTGCTTAAAAAAAAAAAACAAACTAGTTTTCTTACTTGTCTTCTCACCCATCAGGGCAGGATGAAATGTTTGTGAAAGAAAGGTGTTTACTGCTTTCTATTTCAACATCATGTAACCATTGCAGGAACCAAAGAAAATATAGATCTTAGAAATATGTATGTGTAAGAAAGTTATATACACTTCTCCAGAAGTATTTCAGACATTAAAATTATTAATATACATTAAACATATCTGGTAAACCTGCACAAAGCACCAGCCTTAGGAAAGGCTCCAAAGTAAACATTGCAATACCAACAAATTTTCCCAGTCATGTTTGAGGAAACACAAAATATGCAGTGAACCACAACTATCTGAAGCACAAGCATATTTTTGCATCACAAAAACAAGCAGGGAGCACAGCAGGCCTGCAAGAATGTATCACTTTGACATTAATAGAATAGATCTTACTGAGCATCATTCAGTGGTGCCCAGTATGATAGCAGTTGCTATACTTACATGTTCCTCTGGGTAAAAAGGCTGCTATTTGCTGCCAGTTTATTGGCCTCGGACAATTCCACTATTCTCTGCTCCAGTGACCTAATCTTCGAATCCATTGCATTGATCATCTGAAACAGAGCAATGTGCCCTTGAGACTGCACAATAGAAGTGATTATAAATACAGTGTTTTAAAAATGTCTGAACTTTTCCCAGAAACAAAAAGAAGAAAACCAATCAAGTGGCCAAAAGAGCATTACAGATGGATAACTGGAACTATTAACTGCTTTTCATTTTAGGAGAAAGCAACCATTATATTATCAATGCACAAAATGATGGGTACATAGCAAGCTATGCTGCTACATTTAAGGAAATATTCTTGAAGATACCTTGAATTAAAAACCCATGTCTTAAAATCAGTATTAATCAGTGGATTTCCTTCAAAGCAGCTCTGCAAAACCTCAAACAAGATTATCTTGCTGGAAATCAGAGTCTCAGAAAGCTGCTTTTAAAATGCTTTGATTTCCAGTTCAACTATACATACCGCCTTCTGTTCAGCCAGGACTTTACATTTCTCACGTGCTTCTTCTTCATGTCTTCTGAGCATATTCTCAAGCGCTTCCTTATCTGCAAGATCTTTCTTCATCTGATTTTCCAATACCTAAATGAAGACATTACTTTTGTCTAAATTATATCTGTTTCACTGGGCAAAGGGCAAGCGGAAAGAAAATCATCAAGACAGACACTTTTTTTTAAGCAGTCTCAAGCAAAATTAAACCCAAGATGCAATTGCATGAAATTCATGGAAGAGTGAACACCAGAAAAGAGCACTCCCTCAGTTATCTCTGAAGACTGAATTTAATAATAGAATTTTATGAAGACGTGGAGATACTGTAGATTTTAAAAAAATTATTCAAGTAATATAAACTGTGTTCAGGAAATATTCCAGACAGAAAACAGAAAAACTTTATACCCCAACATGTCCAGTAGAGGAAATAAGGTAATGCACATCTTTTGGCTGCCCTACCAACCTGGCTCAGAAGCAATTTGTAAGTTCCACAAGTATTCAAGAGAACGTAACTGAGACCCCATGAATTTTTCAAGTCAGAGACACAAAACGAAACCGCTAAGCAAAACACTTCTTTTTGTGGCACAAATACCTGTCATTAGGAACAGGACTAAGGTAACCAATTGTTACATGTTTTTAAAAACGAATGTTATACATGTACGTCCAGAGCTTTAAATCAGTTGTTAAACTGGAGGTCACTTCCTACAAAGAAATGTTTTCAAAGGCAAAAGTCTGAACCCCACAGGATATTTTTTACTGTTCCAGTTACAAGCATCCCATGTCCTCTTTCATCCCTCCGAACCCCTTTCACCTGGATTCCTGATTCCTCCTACCAAACCTTATACCATACGTTGCCATAACACACTGCCTCTCTTTTTCTTTTAGTTTTTTTCCAACCCCTATCCTCTTTTCCATTTTTCTATGTCACCACTTATCTTTTCCCCAATATCTACCTCTGATCTTCCTTCTTATTTCTCTTTTTTCCCTTCATATTTATCCTATAGAAATTTCTTCTCTCCTCTGAAATACTACATCCTCTCATATTTAAGCTGAAATGTAGAATTAAAGTCCTAGGTAAACGTAAATCTAGACAAAGATTGCTGAAAACAGATTATGCTTAGTAGAAACAAAGATTCTTATAAAATGCATTTACTGGCTGATGTACTGCAGGTTCTTTAGAAAAAATCCTTAGACGGTGCACATACTCCTATTTCCCAATTTCTTTTTCCTAATTTTAGACGGTGTCTATGATTCTATTTCTAACTGTTTGTCTTATGCTACCCTGGAAAAGACAAAAACAAAGTGGGTGGTTTCTGTGGCTTCTTGGCAGATGTTACAGCTCCAAGAAGATGGAATTCCAGAAATGCTATAGTATTTGCCAAATTTAAAACTTGCAGGTAGGCTGTGTGAATACTCATAGAAGTCATCAGTAGGAACAGAAAGTTTATTCAGGATGTGAGATCCAATAGCATTAAGTAGGTATTGTTTAGTCAGCAACAGACAAATTGCAATCAGCAACTACCTTCCTATAGTTCTGACTTCAGGTGCCACCTGTTTTAACGCAATGTTAAAGACAGATAAGGTACAATGGCATGGGCTAGAAGAAAAACTGACTCAGATTCCACTAAGCTCTCTGAACACTTCAGTAGTGTTAAGCAAGAAGGCAACTCATAATACAAAGCAATCAAAGCCTAAAGGCAACTGTCTTTCCCTGAATTCACTCTACCCACAAAAGCTTGTAGGAAGATAAGAAGATATTTTTACTTTGAGTTTTTCCTCATAGAATTGTTCCTTCTGTTTCAGCTGCAACTCCAGATGTTGTGCTGCAATCTGAGCCTCACGATGCTTTTCTTCCAGCTCCTAAAAGCAGCAGAGATTCATATTCAGACACAAAGAAATAGTAGGTGCTGTGTGTAAGTTACAAAGGTATTAAACATTCATTCATTCTCTTTTAAGGTTTCACCCTATAAAAATCCCAAGACCAGGGCTGTGATAGTAAAAAAACATTATGAAAGCTGCACATAATGAGTTTTAATCTTCGCATATTGTTGCTGACCCATCTATTGTAGAGCAGATATACTACTAAAGAGTTCTACTTCCACAGTAAGAACCTCCATTTGCAGTAAAATATTCTCAAAGATGGGCCAAGGACATTTTGTGAAAACAAGCAGTTATAAACACTTTATAGAAGTGGCAACACAGGAAGTCCAGATCTATTTTTAACAAGGTCTCTCACTTGTTTTCTCATGGAAGAGCTCAATAATGGGGCACTGCTGTCTATGCTTTTCGTTCTAAATTCAGAGAGTGGGAATAGTATTTACTTTGCTATATTCCTCAGACAAATGTTGTCAGAATAACTATTTATAAATTGCTTGGAAAATGTAAAGTACAGGATGCCATAGATATGGTAGAACATACCAGAATATTTTTAACCTCTTTATTTCACATCAGATAGTTTCAGCCATGAACAGTAAGAACTGAAATAATTCTGTATCTTGGAAGTCAGCTATTTCTGCTGTCTGGCTGTATTATTCAGTATATATCTATAATCACCTTTCAACAGGACTCCTCACAAGAGTTGTGTATAGAACTTTATGCTCATTCATTGTCATATTTGCCATTCCAACAATTTCCTTAGAACAAGAGGCAGATCCATGTCTGTCATTCACTACCACTGGGTTGACTCTTGCATAGACAAGTTCAGGTTTTGGGATGCATCCAGGTCTCCTGTCTATCTTCATTACTGCATAGCACAGGAAACTTGCCTGATATTTCTAATTTAGCTCTTTTCATATTCTCTTTTCTGATCTTCCTCATCTTGAAAACAAGTAAAGACCTTTTTTCTCCAGTAATTGCAGTAGACCTCTTTTTCCAGAAGTGAGAATCAAAGAGGAGGTTCAACAAAAGTAGGTCATCTACAGTGCCTAGTACCCGACACTTCTGCAAGGAATGGAGATTGCTGCTTTTTGCAATTGAAATATGTCTCCCAGCAACAAGAGGGACAACTCACCTCCCCCAGAAGCCCACACGTTTCAGGTCCTGGCAGAGAATCAGACAACCAGATCAGCAGCAGCTTCAAAGCTACCAGCATCAGACTGCTCATATTGTAGCAGAAGCTTCATCAGTTTCTGCAGTGGCACTTAACAGCCAGTGTGGGTTTAAAAAGGTAATCTCTTACCATTCTAGTTCTCATTTACTACTCTCTATGTAGCACTAACTTTGTTATTAACATCATATCAATAATCTACACTTTCAAGCAGTAATAAGTATCTTCTCTAACTTGTTTCTTCTTATTCAAGCAGATCAGCAGGTACCTTCTCAGGACTGCTAGATGAGTGGACATGAAACCAATGCCTTATTCAACAATTTCCACCTTATTCTATGCAATTCTTGATCTATGGCTCAGAAAGGTCAAAAGCATTTAAAAGAGATCAACTTGAGGGAGCAAACAGGGTAGCAGCGGAGAAAAATGAAAACTATTACCCTATGATCCCAGATCAGAACTTCATGGGACTAGGAAAGACTCTGTAAGGCTTATTTCTTCAATGCCTGTTTGACTTTCCTATAAAATACTTTTGTGTGTCCAACATTCTGTTAGAACTCCATGGAAACTATCTATAAGAGCTAAACATCTCACAGTGTAAAACAATTAGTCGATATTTCTCCATTCCCTTCCAGTTTTTCCTCCACAGAGAATGTAATCAAAACCAAGGAACAATCCCCAACCATACACAAGAGGCTTATGAAACAATTCAAAGTTTTACACTATTTCTAAACATAAAGTTGGCTCTGAGCCCAGCAAAACCATAGTCTCCCACTTACCATGCACTCATGTTATCAAAACAATTTGAAAGCAACAGCACTAAAGAACCGATTCTACCTTTTCTTGAGCATGCTTAGGCATTCTGATGCTGAAGTCTACATATGCGGCTATTACCCAGAATAAGTATGGGTCATCTGTTAACTCCAAATACAGTTATTTAAAAATTTCCGTTTGGCCTTCCTCGGGTGTGGCTATGCTCAGGACTGCTACCAATAAAATGTAATTCTCTTTTTCCTTGTCATATTGGCAACACAGAAAAAGATCTCATGAGAAACACAAAATTAATTTAATTATTCCACTATAAAATTATGCTTCCTGTTACGAAGAAGTATTAGGAACACCCTCTGCTTGGTTCGCTGTAGACTGACGTACCAACCCGCTATAAAGATTTAATTGGTTTAACAAGGAGAGAAACAAGAAATTGCCAACAAAGGAGGTATGTGGGTGAAAATGGATTCCTGACAAATATTATCTTTGGAGACAAACAGTTTAGATGACTAATTTCTCTCTGCTTCAAAGTGTAAGCATTTCAAGTAGATCTGATCGCTCAATTTCTTTGTAATTTAGTTTAAAAGCTAGATATCAATGTTTTTATTGTTGCAGTATCCTGTCCTATTTTACTTCATTAGGTAATTAATTTAAATATTACCAAGTTGACTTATAAGTGTTCCCACTGAGAATTTTAAGCAGTATTAAGACTAAAGGTACAGGAGTGAGTTTGTAACTAAAGTTGCTAATAGTATTTGAGCACTTAAGCCTTCTCCAGTATGACTGATACAAGAAACAAACCCCTTTATTCAACAGTTTCCACCTTATTCAATGCAATTCTACATCTTCCGTTCCTTTCCTCCCCTTTCTTACAAACTCTTACCCTTTATGTTTCATTTTCACCTCTGCTCACCAGAATTTTTTCTGCCATCTGTTGAATCTGTTGAGATTTGGTTTGAATATCTTCCTTTAGACGGTTTTCTCTTCGTTCTACAGTCTCTAATCTCTTCACTTGATTCTCCAGAGAATGGCGCCGTTCCTGTAGAGTAATTATTAACTGCCATTTAGGCTAACCCACTCTGCATTATCACAAAGCAATAAGTTTCTAGAAAAAAGTCAGCTGAAGCAGTCAATATATGGTTGTCTTTTATATTTGAAATCCTCATCATGCCTCAAATCCCTTATGTTAACTACATATCCTTACTGACTTCTCACTGAAAATAAAAAGCCTCTCAGTTTTCTTCAAAGACCTATCTGCTTTTTTAATTAAAAGTGGATTAATGTCTAACATCACTTTCCCATGAATACTTACTACAGGAATACAGGCTGTCCACAGTCATCCAGACGAGGGTTTCTAAGCTGAGACACATCCCAATAACTAATTTACTCTAGACAGACATTCTCCACTCACCTCCGCTTCAAGTAATTTCTTCTTCATGCTTTCATTAGAATCTTCACGATTCTGCAGTTTCTCTAACTCCTTCTCAGCTCTCTCCTTTGCTTGGCGGATATTCTGAAGAAGTTCAGTTGCCTCTGAGCTAGCTTTCACAGCCTAAAGGTCCAAAGGAAAAAAAAAAAAAAAAAGAAGGTATTGTAAGGAAAACACACACACACAAAAACTTGGTATGTCAAAAGTTCATAACCTTGAGATGGACAACATTGTGGATAAAATTGCCACAGAACTTTGGCCTAGCAGTCTGAAATTAATACAACCTACAGACATGTGCAGGAACCCAAATTCTAACTTCTGTTATGTAATTCTTTTCTGTTTCACAAAAAAAATGAGAATCCAGGAAATCTTCAAGTTTCTAATTGTCTCTTTGTACTCACAGTAAAGTCTACCTCCAAATTCAGCTGAAGTTCCTGGAAAGAATTCGGAAACTACTCTAACTAAAAGACTAAGAAAATAGCCTGTTGTAGAATGAATGAAAAGAGAAAAGGGGAGGGAGGATTAAAACATAGCTGTTTTGAAATATTAGAAGTACTATTTCTACATAGTTTTAGCCTCCTATTCATACTGTAGATCACTAACCTTGAAAAAGCCCCCTCTCAGCAGTTGCCAAGTTTGAAAAGCTCTCTCAGTGGACTATTATGACAACCCCTTTCTTCTTTGCTGAAAGATCCCAGTAAGAAAAGTTCCCCTACTGCTCTTACGGTGCCTTCTTCAGTAACAGACTGAGCACAACTGCAAACATTAGATATTATGCACTTCCTTCAGCTTACACTGCTAAGGTATTTTAATTCTGTTGTGAACCCTTATCATCCAACATCTTTTCTGTGAATAACTGAAGTGGAAAGTGATTTTGCAATTAAAAATACTGGGAGACTAACCAAGTCCAACATGCATTTTACTAGTGAGCCAAAACCATATGAACCTTGTCTTCAGAAGCAAGGGACAAGTGCATTGCATACAGCATGCCCAAACTGGCCTTTTAAATTAGAATTTCTTTACACTACTCCAGTTCTGACTCAGCTTCATTTGTAAAAATAAACACTGTTGACATGTCTCAAGAGCCAAAAGCATATTGAGAACACCAATGATTTCAGATACCAGTTCCCACCCCCTTTTCCTTATCATCCCCCATGCTATGACTAATTCTATTTTTAAGGATAAAACAAAGTGCATCCCTCCTCTGCATTAAGGTTTCACTGGAAAATCTTATGGAAAATTCACTTTCACCACCCAGACATTACCTTTGTCAGCTTTTCCTGAAGCTCCTGGATTTTGGCCTGCTGCTCTGTATTGATCTACAGTTAAATAAAAAAATGGGGGGAAAGAGTGTCAGAAAATCAAAAAGGTAAAAATGTTTTCTACTTATGATACCAAATTTATTTTAATTCAATTCCCCAAAATCTTTGTTTCTCCCCACAAATTCCAACACACCAAAGTGTTCCTTGGCAAATCTACTCCCATTTTACTATCTTCCAGTTGATTTCATATTTTGGTCACCAAGCAGATAGTTCAGTGTGAGAATACTCAGATTTCTTTTTAGTTTTCATTTGTTATTCTTTATTCATAAAGAAAACCCTTTTGTATCACTAACCTAGCTCCAAACTCAGATTACATATAATGGCCTGTCTTTGTACACAAACCATTAAGAACAGGATATCCAGACACAGCTTCACATCAAATCAGAAAGAACAAAGAATCGCACCAAGAAGATTTTTTTTTTAATATAAAATAAAATAGGGAGGGATGTGAGGCTGTGCACACCATTGACTCGCCAAAGACACTCTTGGTTTCTGTGCATAATATGGACCCAGCAAGCAAGCTCCAGGACAGTAGCATACCTTCTCCAATTTGGAATACAACTCTCCTGCTTCATTTTTCCCTTGATCTTTAACCTGTAACTTAAATATAAAATATATAAAAGTCTCAAGAAAAGTCGTAGTACACTGGTCTTTATATAGTCATCACCTCATGCAATTTACACACAAGCAGTTACACAAAGTATAAATTACATTACTTCAAGTGTACAATTGAAAGGCATTTTGTCTTAGTTGTACAAAACCACACTAATCTTTATAGGACACACACAACTTATATGTGTGTGTATAAAAATTGCACTAGAAATTCAAGCAAGCATCAGCCCCCTCTCCCATGAAGCCTAAACTACCTTTTGCAATTTGTTGTGACATTCAGTAGCTTTACGTTTGAATTCTTCAGCTGCCAGTCGGGACTCTCTCAACTCCGATTCATAAAGATCACTACGCCTGCGAGCTGAAATAAGATCCTCTTCTAATTGATTCATCATCAACCTCATTTCTTCTACCTGAGCTTGATATTCCTGTAGTTGTGGTGGAAGAGAAGGAAAAGGTATCCCATTTTAGAGGCAACAGGGGAAATACTTGGAACAGCAGATCCCAGAATACTGACTGCAGGCAAGTGTCACATTTAAAAATAGGTGGGAGAAGAGTAAAGTACAAAATATAACAATAAGAGCTAAATAAAATCCATGGTATTCTGGTTTGAGTCTTGCCATTTTCATGTTGATACCTCATAAAAATCAAAACATTGACTTTCTGAGAGTGGCTTCACTGCAGAAACACATACACACATCTACAAATGATAAAAATTACTTACATTTCTAATTTCTGAAACAGAAATGTGCCTTTGAGTTGATGTCTCTACTAAATGCCCAGATGCTCCCTCAAGATACATTTTCTTGGGCTGATAACATGACAATTACCACAGATCTGCACAGCTTGGATAAAAGGAAAGGAGAAGCAGAGGGGTAGCATATTGTGGCTTCTAGCCGGCAGCTATTTTCTCTTGACACAGTTAAAAGGGATCCTATTGCTCTGTATGGGAGACAACCTAAAATCAAATATTAACTTAGAAAAACTGCCTAAAAATCACCCTATACAGGCGGAAGTAACGATTCCCCACGCACAGTGCTACAAGACAGGGCATCTGGATGGGGAGAATGGGAGAAGAAAAGGATGTTTAACTGATTGTCTCAATGAGACTGGGTATTCAAACTGAGACGAGCTTGTGAGATTGCTTCTCCTATCCTCACTGGAAAGAAACAAATTTAAGTACATTTATTTAGCATTTACTAAGTCCTGCAAGTATACATTTTATAAAATTACTCTTTAAAAAAAACAAAATAAATTATTTTTTAATGAAGCTGAGAACAAGTACAAAACATGCACATTAAGAGCTAGGAATAAAGATTATGAAGGATTGACAGTGGGGGAGTCTATCTTTCTTTCCATTTTAATATCTTACAATACGCCTGACTACCCCCATATTCAAAAGAGTAACTGTCTCATGACAAAATCAGGTTTGTCATCACTCCTTCCAGACAGCCAGCTCTCTCTAGATAGACAAGTGATCGCATGAACACTGACCCTAATGTCAGCCTGTGATTCTCTAGCAACGTGGAGACCTTATGCAGGTATTTAAAGAAGCTGGGCCTTTAACAGATTGCTTTACTATCTGTTACGGGGAGCACGGCAGAATGGCTCTTTGGTTTGTAATCCCCAAACCGGTCCTCCAGTCTGTAAGGCAGACAGGGGGCCTACTCTTTCCAGTTATTGTCTCCATGGATGATCTTATTTTCTTGCTGAAAAAAATTAGAGCCTTTTAATAATAAGCAAGCATACAGTAACTCAAATATTCATTTCGTACAAATACATTTGTGAATAAAAAAGGCAGAACGGTTTGAAGGAATACATGTTCTGCTCAGAAATCATAATTTTTTAAGACTTCCTAAAATACTTGACTTTTCTATCAGCAAACACTTGACCAAAGAATTATAGGTATGACTACAGTTGCCACTGTGAAAATGAGTGTTTGGGAAGGGAGGAGAATGGGGAAGGAGAAAAGAAGGAAGAAGAGGAGATAATTAGTAATATTTCAGTTTTTCTTGTTTCTTCACGTTTTTCAAGACTATCTTTAAATAAATCTCGTGGTCACGTCAGAGGAACAGGCCACATCACTCAAGGCAACACAGAACAATAACTCTTGTATATGCATTAGTCATAGTTTAAAAACTATCAAAGATGTACTCAAGCACATATTAACGGACAGGCAAAGCCCAGGGCATATACCTGAAGCAAATCACATGAGGGTAGCTACATACAAATGAGTGGGCCTTTCCAAAAACACAGATTCCAATTTGTTGCAAGTTCATCCATTCATATGGGTCTTCATCAAGTAACGCCAGAACACAGGTTTAGTTAAAAAAAACAAACCAAACCAAACACCACACACACATCCCAAACAAAAAGGAAACGCAAACCCATCACGCTCTTCTATTCAAGTACATGATGTTAAGTTGAACTTACAGTCTTGCTCTGAAAATACCAAATGCTTAACTATTGGGTTTTAAAGATTATGATTTGCTGTTAATTTTACTCATTGTCTCTCAAGCTTCAGGTTTCCAACAGCAAAACTCTAAGGGACTCTTCCATCTCACCTCCCAGTTCCCTCTGACTTAAAAATAATGATCTAAGTCTTTAATGACTAAGATCCACCTGCTGGTATGAATCAGCAAAAACATCTCTGCATATTTTGTTGCGGTGTTCTTGCACATGGGGTTCAGATAGCTCAGAAGACCACCCCAGAAATTAAAGTCTGCAGGATATTAGATTCATTTGTTGACCTAAGCAATATTTTTATGTCATCATGAATATTCACAATCCAAATTAAGGGATTCTGGGACAAAATATTTGATTAAAAATTACTTGCATTGTTTTTCCTCTGTTGCATGTGTTGGTACTGCCTAAGAATCTAGTGATATTTATCATCACCAACTATGTTCCACATTTCAATATTTAAAACAACTTTGCTACAAAGCACCAGAACAGAGAGTAATGAGCTTTAGATCCCTTGTATTACATAAAACAACCATCCAGAAGCATGCAGTAGAAGTCTATGGAGGCCTGCTACATCCAGAGGGTTGTTTTTGCATTTCATTACTTTTTACATAAGAGCTGCTCATGTCTGGAGAATTATTTCCAAGGTTTCTGGGCTTCCTTGTCTCAAACACTATGAAATTAGTCAGTTAATGTTTGTAAAGTGCTTTGAAGATGAAAAATTACAGATAATTGCAAAGAAGTGTTTAATAAACACCATAGCAAATTTCCATTTCTTTTTCTCAATACAATATGTTATTTATTCACAAAACTGAATGGGTTGTGTCTCGTAGACCATTTTAAATCCTAAAAAGGTCTATATTTGTCACCATATTTTCGTTTAAGTTTGACTTCTTTTTTTTCCGCCCCTTATGAACAACTGTATGGATTAATGAATTTTCAACAAGCTTCTGGTGGAAAAAGAATTAACAACATCTACTTTGAAAATAGATTAAATTAGGAACAGAACAGTTTGGCAACACAGATTCTATTTTGAAAGACTATTAAGCATTTTAAATGGTCATATAAGAAAGAAGAAAAAAACACAACACAAAATTAAAGTTAGTTCATTAACTTGTTGTGAAATTTGTATAGCTTGACCATTTAAAAATTGATAGTTTATTTCTAAGGCACCATATTACTACAGCATTGCAACTTTCTCCTAATTTATAGATACTTTCAGGACTAGGAACAGAAAAACTTGCCAGTTTGGGGTTTGTGCTTACTATACACAAAAGTGTAATTTTGTTGCTTCCCATTTTGTTTAAGAAACCTTGTAAAAATACATAGATTGGGAGTCATCACAGCCTACCAACATAAAACATAATCCTGGCAACAGAGCTAGAATATGCCAAGAATTCCCGTTTGTAGATAGCCACTCTGCTCCCCAAAGAAGCAGGTATACCTGTTCTTTGATCTCTTGCAGCTTTCGGCTTTGCTCTCTGATATCATGAAGTAGCTGTAGTGCCTTATCATCTTCCTGAGACACCTCCATCCGTGCCTGCTCCAGGCTTCGCTTTAAGCTCTGCAGAAAGCAAAATGTTCAATACATAGTCTTTCGTTTTTCAGATGGTTGCATAATAAAGATCTTTAGCTATATAAATGCCTCCTTGACTGCAGTGAGGCATCAAAAAAATCAAGGCACCAGTGATGAAACCCTAAAGAAATTCATAGCCAATGCTGCTTCTATCTGGATAGAAGCAACCCATTTTACAAACACTGTTTATTACACTTAAGTCTTAGTTCAAATCTCTACTTCCTCACATCAGGTCTAGAGACAAAAACAAAACAGAGATCACATAAGGCATCCATTACTGACAGCATTTATATATATTTTATCTAGCACTATTAATTCACAACCTAGATACAACCCTTCAACTTCATGTTACTTAACAAGCTTATTCATTTTTCTTGTTGCTGTTAAATCCTTCAATCGTCATTAAACTTCTACAAAGAAGAGCTGCTTCTGTATCTCACCACACACCTTACCTGCAAAATTTGACAGACCAGTGGTCCTCCTATCAACTGTGCATTATTCTTCAACAGCAAGATGCAAACTGAATTTTATTTATTTACCTAGTAGTATTTAGTGTAGGGAATTCACTCCACTCTGTTTTAAGCTATGCTTCCCAACAAATAAAGCCACCAGAAATGCTTTTCAATTCTCTGAAACAGAGTATTATCTGCATTTTTGTGCTTGGTACAAGAGAGGAAACAGAATATTATAACCAACTGAAAATACAGAGATTATTAGCTAGAATGAAAATATCCTCACTGGAACCTTGCCAAGACAACTGAGCAGACATTCCAGCTCCCACGAAAAATGCCAAATGATCTTTGAAGACATGGTTTTAAGGCCTCATTTTTGTATTCTACCTGAAAAATAGCACCTGTCCTAGCATCATCCCTAACATTACACTGGGGAACTGGATCAATCTGAACTCAGAATACCACAGATGAAGGCAACACCACTGTTTCTTAATGCTCTTATTTGTCCTTGGAGATGTCTGTCTAGGTACTGACTAGGCCCCATCTTCTTCTGGCTAAGAAACCTGCAAAAAGTCAAATCCAAGCATGTTCTAGCACAGCCAGCAAGACAAACATAAATAGTTTCAGCAAGACCAGGACAGTAGTTATTCTGTATGTTCTAAGCACATGACCACGACACAAAATTTGAATAAAACTGAGAAGCAAGCCTCTGCAAACAATCCAGGGCTCCATGTCGAACAGCTATCCTCTCACATACTATTTTCTCTCCATCAAGTACCCCACTGAAACCATGATGGAAGAGAAAGGCAAAGACCACCAGATTTCAGGCTTTCAGAGCTGAAAGGACTGGTGTAAGGGCTCACACTGCATTCTGTGATATAGGTGGCCAGGTCCTGCTCCAGGAGGGATCGCTGGGTCTCAGAGGCTTTCAGTTCCACCTCCTTTTGGCTAAGTACAGCCTCCACCTCTGACACTCTCCGGTGCAACCGCGTCATTTCCTGCTCCATCTGCAATAAATATCAAGAGGTTATAAAGGGGGCTTCAAAAGCTTTGTTAACTGCTACTTTCAGAGCTCTGTTTGCAAGGAATTTGTCTCCAAGAGACTTCTAGCTATATTTCTCCAAATGGTGTTTAAATTCCAATACCATTGTCTCTGCTCCAGGAATGCACAGTTCTTCTTAAGGACAAGTAGTAAGTCTAAGTCACCCCATTCATTCAAGCTGCTTGTTCATATTCAGTCATTCTTCGAACCCCAGTTAGCAAAGAAGACACAATCATTTTTCACCTGACTTGCAGAGATGGGTCACTTTAACCTTATCCCAAATCCATGCTGGACCAGGAGATGGTTTCCCCCCATCTCCTTGTAAGGAGCAAATGGTCAAATCCAGAACAGAGCAGGGAAAAAAGTAATCGAACTCTCATAAAAGTCTCAAACAAACAGTAAGTTTAAAAGACTCCACCGGGTTCCCTTTATTGGAGCACAACAACTGTTATAAGATGTTCACCATAACCAGTGACGACACAACAGTTACGTAAGTAGAAGCTGATGAGTTAGGAAGAGAACCTCAGAACAGTACTGCCGTAATTGTGCGTATGATGAAGAGGCTGCAGGAAGAAGCAGTCGTCTGTGTCACGCTGAGAAAAGGACTGTTTAAAATCCAGAGCCACTTCTTGTTAAGATAAAAGTATCTAGAGCAACAGCATGGCCTAAATTCATCTCCCTTTGTACTGAACGGGAAGCCACCTCACTGAAGGAAAAGCACTTTGCCCACCACGAGTCTGGATGATCAGCAGCATCTGACAGATCCCTGGGCATACAGTGGTTGCAGATTCTTGGAGCAATGGAGATGGCCAATCGCATAAATAAATACCTTGTGACACTTGTCCTGGGCGTCTTGGAGTTCTTTGCTCTTGAGAAGAAGTTTCTTTTCCATGGAGCTGACCTTGGCTGGAGAATCCACACTTGAAAAAATAGATCTAAAAGAGCAAAGCCAAACAGCACATGAATACAGGCAAAAGGTACAAACATCTGCATTTATGCAGCCTTGGTAAAGTCATTGGGTACTTACTTATACCAAGATAAAAGAAAGATGCAGCAATCACAGTCTAACAGCCATCATTTCAGATCAAGCATACCATAAAACCTGATGACAGTAGTTCATTATTAAATAATCCATGTGTACTTCTAGTTACAATATTAATATTTTCTATCAGTGACTTATGTCAGAGTGCAAAACAATAAATCACAGCAACATTTTTGCATAACTTGTACAAATTTATAAGTGTCACAAAAACAGAACATGAATTCAATGTAGCCATTTGGGAAGATAACAAATTTTCAGAATTGCTTTTCATTTTGCATTTTATTTTTAAACGGGTCTTTAAATTATCATCAAAGTACAAAAGCCCTAAAAACTTTAACATGTCATAGTGTGCACCACAGGAAGAAGAATTTAATATCCTTAGTTACCTTCTGTGAATCAAAATTGAACTGCAACTTTCTTAGCCCAACTCATATGATCCCTACAAACTCAATCAATATGATTAGTCACACTGCAGAACTTCAGAGTTCACTTATAAGTAATTTTTTTTGAGACACACAACTATGCTATTCAAAAAAATTTGACTCTGGAAACCTGAGGAAAATATTTATGTGTTCTTAAGCTTTCTGTCTAACTGGGAGTCAACGTTTAAGAAATTTACCATTTCTGTTAGTCTCAATTCTTTCTAGAAAAGGATAGAAAGCCATCAATGTTTTGGAGCATATTTTTAGTGCTTTGCAGTTTTAAATATGTAATTTGCAACCAAAAAATAAAGTACACACATCAAAACATAATTTTTTTTAAAAATCACATTCTCCCTCACATAAAATGATTCAAACTAGATATTTAAGCAGTTAATGATGAAACCAGTGTTAACTGATGGATGAAAATGCAGAAGTACAATGAAGGTGCTAATAAAAGATCATACAGTCTGCCCACACATTGCTTTCTGCTTCTCCTGGCCACAGTTTGGTATGCAGCCAGTTATCCCCATGGAGAGAAATGAGCTTTGAGCAGCTCTCTGCATATAGCCATACACCCACACACAGCAGCACAGTCTCTTAACACCAAGGAAAGTTTGATTCCATCACCACCATTTTCTGAGAAAAAATCTACTTCTTAATCCAAACAGATATGCCGGATAGTCACAAAAAGGACACACAGATTTTTATGAAAATGCTGCAACATATCTGTATCAAAACAGATCTTCAGTACCACCACCTTAAGCAGTCATTAGGAAACACTGCTTTGATATTAGCAAACAAACACAGCAAAATCCACCAATTCTGCCTTGAAAGGTCAAATATTAGTATCTCTACAGAAATTTGATAGGGAAAAAACTTAGAAGAAAGAATCCTGCATGTCAACAATACAGATATGATCAGGACTTAATAAAAAACAGCTGTTAGTAGTGAATGCTTTTGTAAAGCATTCCTTTAGTCCTGGACCAATCAATCCAATATCTATCAAGTTATCATACTTAAAAATCAATTTATAAAGCGTGTCTATACTCCTACAGAGAAAAAGCAACCATCTGAGAAAGATGCATATTAAATCCCATAACAGCTGGGTGTACAAACAAGGCTAAAAATGAATAGTTGAGAAAAGCAGTCTAAAAATACAAATTAAAGCTCACATTAACTAAAAAAGACACTAAGGAATCTGCTTTAAAATGTTAATCAAATATATGTAAATAGCTGCAAATGTATACTGAGACAAGTCTGAACATCTTTTTATCATAAAAATTCAGCTGTACTGGCTAAAGCAATTTTTTTTTTAAATTATAGTTTCAACATTAGCCATCACCTTTTTACTTTTATTCTTTTCAAATCTAACACATACCAAAGAAAACTCTAGCCAGTTCTCACAGACCTGGTTTTAACTGCTGCTTCTCTTTCACCTCCCTAAAGAAGCTAACATGTTATTTTTGTGTATTTTATTTGCTGTTAAAAGACTCAGAGCCTAATATTACAGGCACCATTTTGCATTTCAAAAATTTCTCCTAGCAAGCCAGCTTAAAGCATCCATATGCACTGCAACACAGGAAGTAACAGGACAGATTCAGGCAAAAAGATACAGAGCTCTGCAAAGACACGTTGTTCAGCCAGGAGTGATGAGATGGGACAGAGCACAGGAGACTCGCACCGACTGAAGTTTGAATTTCATTAAGTGACTGTAGAGGGAGCTGCTCCTCAGGGTTGGTGTCAGTTTTGTAAGGAAAAGAGAAGGCTACAAACTAGAACTACAATCTTTCTTCCTCATCCCTGTGCAAAGGAAGGAAGAAATTCCTTAAAAATAGATGTCCTGGTGACAAGACAATTTTCCTGCCATGGAAACAGTACATCTTATCCCCAAGTGACTGTGATTTCAGTTAGCACAGGAGACAGTTTTTAAGAGACATCCTTGCCCAGTAATTCTCTCCTGTGTACAAATTATATCAGAACAACTTCATGAACATCCATACAGCCTTCAAAGTATCAGAAAAGGAGCAGACAGAGGAAGTCAAGAGAAATGGGATACTGACTAATCTAATAAGCCTTGTCATGCTCTCAACACAGCATGACAAGGTGGAAAAATACCCATATTGCTGGGGCACTTATATTCTTCCTCAGTCAGCATCATCTCAGAAATTAAACACATACAAGCCAACATCAAAAGCTATGATGCAAAGCTATCATTCAAGTTGGTACCATCTCAGAATATTTCGTTTAATTAACTGCTACATGTGGATCAATTCTCTTAACACAACAGAGCAGTTTCTGCTGTTTCCTCTGAAGTGTGAAAAAAATATTAACAAAAGGTAACCAGCATACATCAACAAGAAAATTGCAATAAAAGATTAAAAACAAAGTCAAGTCTATAGTACCAAGTGCTGATAGCACTAGCTGTGCCAATTTACTTTCAAAAGAAGCACGCCTGCATGACTAAAAAACAAGTTAACTTACAGCTGACTATCTAGTGATTTCACAGCTAGATCAGCAACAGCCTCAACCAGCAGAACTATCAAAAATGGTGCTAGTTGTGAAAAGCTCCTCCAGTCTTAATGTGGCTGACATGAAGAAAAAAAAAGTATTAGTATAGGAAAAGCTATAAAATGGTTCTAGGGTATCAAACTCATATCTTCACCTCTTGTGCATCATACCTCATACCTTCCTTTGTCCTTTTATGCCACTCATAAACCCCCAACTCACCTGGTGCTTCTTCCTTCTCACAACGATTGACACCATCTGTCCTAATCCTGGCCCCCACACAACATGCCTATAATCTCATCCCCCGTCCCTCATGCTTTATTCTTTTTAGCATTATACTCATCTGTACCTTCCGCCCCCTCTTAAATGCTTGCTCAGGCCTAAAAAAAACCAACCAAAAACAAACAGTGATACCATCAATCTGTGAATAGAGCTAGCTGAAGCAAAGCATATTTTTGGTATGCTCATCCTGTGCTTCCTCTTTAGTCTATCTTTGGTGAAAGAGTTTACCAGAACCCAAGAAACTGTTAGAAGAAATCAGTATTCCTTCTTTTTAGAAAAATGGCCCATTTTAACTCTCAGTACTTTATAATGAATATCATGAATCCACATCCTTTTATGAAAAAAAAAAAAAAAAAAAAAATCTTGAAAAATACCACTACTTAGGAACTTACAGAAAAGATTTGGACCTACCACACCTTCACAGACTATAATTCATGAATTACTAGGATTACATTTATTATATTTTGATAGTTAAAAACTAGTCCCACTGTCAGCCTTGTCTGTGAATATATAGCTCTAGGTTTTGGTTTAGCAAGTATTTTGTATTAACCTGAGTTCTGTATCATATGTAGTCAAACCCCTTTAGCTTCTTACTCCAGTCTAAAAGAGGACAGAGGCATGCAAAAATGTAGATCATAAATAATTTTTTTTAATTAGGTATTTTTTCTTAGGTATTTTGGTATATTTTATTAGGTATTTATTTTTATTAGGTATTTAGGTATATTTGGTTAACCCTGGATTTTTTAAGATATTTATCTTATGCCTTAGGGCTTGTGCTAGTCACCTGCAAAGGACAAGAACAATTTTCTTTCATCGCTTGATGTGTATTTCTGGCATCTAAGGGTTTTTCTCACTTGTTCTAAGCACTGGAGACCAGCCACAGTTAGGGACAGGAGGTAAGGTGGGGCTGGCTTTTAATGGAATTAAACTCTCAGTTGCCTGTTATCTTGTCACAGTCACACGCTCACAGCCAAACCACCAGCCAGATTTGCAGCCAGCCAGACATTTCTCCCCCAAATCAAGAATTCAGAGTCCATGATGGGAGAAGGAGTTAGCTAGTCCTTCTCTGCAGCCTGATGCCAGCTCTGAGAATCATACAGGAGATTTAACAAACACTTTGCTAGTACAGGAATCTATGACATAAGCAATGCCCTTGATTTCTCCTGATTGTTTCTTATGACACATTACTGTCATGCCTTTTACTCTTGTTAAATCTTACGTGTGTTATAGGGTCACAAATTCTTCCCAAAACTCATGCTATGGGGCAACATGCAGAATGTTTTCATTCAGTGGACCCTTCTGAACTACACACTGACCACATAATTTCTGGCAACAGGTTTAAGTGACTTAGGTGAACCCTTCTAACCCTAAGTGGTTGGGAGAAAGGAGAATGGAAAACAGAATTCTTTTATCCTTCTGTCCAATTTTTTTTTTTTTAACTGCTCTTGCTCTGAAGTATTTAAAATTCCTAGCTCAGCTATGGCTGCTTACTATCCACTAAACAAGGGCAAGGGTATAACCCCAAACTTCATAGCTTGACAGCCCTCAAATTAAAAGCAATGAAAGTTTCAAGGACCTTGTTAATGGCACTCTGCAGTTTCCTGGCCTAACTGTGAGCAGCACTAGAGGCATTAGAGCTATCATGCTGCAGACACAGGAAAACAGATCTGCATCACTTAGCAACCAGAAGGGTTATACTTCAGGAGGAAAAATTCTAAGAAAAATTCTGGATTGATAAACTTGATGACTTAGGACCTTTCAGAGATGACATACCAAGATTCACAACAGATAAACCTACCCCCCATTTACTGGTCTCTTCCCCATCTAGAATTTGATATTCAAGCTAGCATGGACAGAAACATGACTTTATTTCCTCAAGTAAAACATACTTATAAAATATTGTGTGGTGTAAGAAGTTATCTTTATGACACGATGTTGCAGTGATATTGAGAATAAGCTAGTCACTGCATTATTTAAATACAGATATTTTAAAGTCTCCATACCCTCTTAGCCATATTTAAATCATCTTTTTAGAATAAAATGCAAGTATTTACTGCTGAAAATATTTAAGTGCCTTTATCAAGATCTCAAAAAAAGAATTAAAAAAAAGAAACCACTAAGACCTGCTTATATTAAAATTATTTGGGGGAAAATTGAAAACACGATGTGTTTTCAGGAAAAAAAGGCCACAAGCAGAAATTTTACTTGAGTCAAAATTTCTCCAGAGCACATTAATCTCTATATTCTTTTCCTGTGCCCCTTCTCATCTATCACCAAAATTCAAATATAAATCTTCAATACACATTTTTGGTACTGGCTCCACAAAGAAAACATATCAGTCAATCTGCTGTATCTATATTACTTCTCAGCCTTCAACCTCCAGCACAGTTACACCACTGTTACTGAGACTTTACCTCACAGTCCTCTTCAGTTCTAGTTCTGGACCCCTATTACATATACATTTTTACCATACATATGGTCACTGTTGAGCCTCTTCTGACTGTTACATGAATGATCATGTAGCCTTAATAGATAGATTGCAGTTCCCCAGGCAGAAAAAGATAACACCATAAGTTATTACACTTCTAAATCAAAACAGATTTTAACCCCAGGTATCTACAGATATAACATTCCATTTTTCTATTTCTGCTGACAATATTAGATCATTTCACCAAAATAATACTTTTTTGGTTGTTATGTCCTCTCCCTTCCTTCCATTTCTGTCATAAAAGCAACTCTGCTGAGGAGGAAAAGTCAAAGATTCCCTTTTTATTACTGGCATAACCATCACATAACCTTGATTCACGGTTTGGGCAAGATCAAAGATGTGAACAGTATAACCAGGTTTGGTTACACACTTACCGCAGAGCGACTATCACAACCAATATGACAAAAAAATGAAAACTTGATTAAGACAGATGGACAAGAAAGTCCCTTAAGCGAACTAACTAGCAGCAGTGAATGCTGCTTCACACAAAAACACAGTGCCCTAGTGCATTGAGCCACTAACCCAGCTAAAGCCATTGCAATCCTGAGGCCTCACGATACTGAGGTAAGGACTTCTCAACTTAAGGTACTGCACGAATACTTTCTCAATAGCTCTGTTATCAGAAACCAAGCACACACCACACCAAATGGTTTATACCATACTATTTATATTCTTCTTTTTCCTCGGACTCCATTCTCTCAGAAAGCATGTTTTCTTTCAATGGAAAACCATTTTTTCTAGATCTTTACCTTCCTCCACAAACAGATACCCTGCATACTTCATCTGAATCTCCAGTCTCTTAACACACAATACAGCAACGTCCAGTCCTTGTATTTAACTTGACCCAAGACCACACAGTTAGCTGCCATGAAGCTCCTCTTGTTCACTGACCCACCACTGCACATTCCCAGATTAGTGAAGCTCCATTTCTGTGGATCACTGATTCAGCCTTACACATTCCCCAGCACTTGGTGCCCACTCTCCAACCCAATAAAATAACACCACCACCACCCCCCGCCTTTCCCATCTCTGAACTCCTCAGTATTCTCCTTCTTTTAGGGATCTGCAATACCAGAAATGCAATCACCGACTCTCACTGGTTAACAGCAACAACTAATTCAAAGTATCTAACAACAATTTTAACAATAACTGGTTTAGAATCACTCTTTCCTTCCATTCTCTCCCCCTCGTCCCAGAAATAATCACAGAACAGTAGGACATGCACAAGCCACAGCAGCAACAGATAAAGCCAGAATCTGGCAGCTTCCCTAAAGCAGAGTACAGGCCAGTTAAAACAGCTTTTCCCCACACACACCATCCTCACTGTAACAAACCTTTGCATTTTTCCAGTGATCCTACCCACTTAAGCAATAATTCCTACTTACTCTGGTCTGAGGATCCCTAATGCCTTGATGAATGAAAACCCCACAAATGGCAAATCTTCACCAGAGAAGCCTGCTGGGTTCAGCTGGCGCGTAGAGGATAAAACCCGCGAATTCTTCTCTGGTTCATCAAAATTTGAGGTGTCATCATCAGACTTGAGAGTAGGAACGAAGGGGGGAGGAGCTGGTAGAAAAAGCAAGAAGAAAAGACAAAATTCAGCTACAGTTCACTCTGCAACAGTCCCACTCATTCAGTGCTTGCAATGGCACTGCAGCTCCTGCTTTTAATCTTGCTAACACAAGCAGACTGAGCTGCTGCTCTCAAATCGTATTACAGCAACAAGAGATTAACCCTTAAGCTACCAACATGGCTACCACTCTGCAGGCAGAATGTCTCCGACACAGATTAAACTGGGTTTTAGGTTGGGGATTTGAGATTGTTGGATTTGGGGTTTTGGGGTTTTGGTTTTTTTTCAGATTAGGGGTTTTTTTCAGACATATGCATTGAATCAAATCAAAGCACTAGGCTAAGAAAATCATTACTGTAATATAGCTAAAAGTAATTCAATTCTTATTCATCTAGAAAAATAAAATGTCTCCAACCTATCCAGTTAATGACTCTACATGAGAATGTAGCCTGATCCTTTGCTAGTGCGCTAAGGGACATATCTATCTACCCTTTAGTAGCACCAAGAATCTTCCCAGCATAGACTTCAACAGCAAACTGGTCTTTCTCTTGGAAGATTCTAATAAACTATAGCTACTAGGAGCTAATTGGCCATTAGGAAGGGAAGAAATATCAGTGAGACTTTCTGTAAAAGAGCTTGCTGAAGATCTGGAACTCTTGTCGGGACACCACTGCAGTCTGGCTCTGATACAATCAGTTCTGAAGAGAGGTATAAATAGCAGGAATTACAATGTATTTCTTACTAGAATTTCTAAATTGGTACTACTTAACTTGTTAAGCAGTTATTTAATTTCAGCTGATTTTCTCATGTTTGCTTCAGTTTAATTAACCAACTGAACAAAAGACTAAGTTCTTCTCAATGATGTGCAGCACCCGAGCTACCTGCTGGCTTGGCTACGTGTGAGGAGAACGAATGCAAAAGCCTGCTGTGCAATTCCTACCTCATTAAATCACGTTTTGTAAGGTTTTCTTTTTAAAATTTATTTCATCACTCAGGTCCTCACTCCCTGCACATCTACTAATCTCTTTTTTGCTCTATAAAGGAGACAGCTCTTCAGTCAGCAGCTAGAACACAGCCCATTGTCACAAGCTGATGGAAGTGTAGTGTGCTAAAACCGTTACCATGGATCCAGTATAGATCTCCTGTAGCTGAAGGGCTGATGAGAATTGAAGAACCAGGAACAAACATTACAACCCCTGCAGTGCAGGCTCCCTGCTCCTCACTCTCTGCATGCTCGGAGTTTAACCCTACCTACCTGCATTCGTGACAGATGCTGATGCTTATCTGACTGACACAGGCAGAATGAGTCACGGCTGGAGCTTGCTAGCTCCCTCTAGGTTGCCAAAGCCTTTCACAGCCTGCTTTTTAACTCTTCATTCTCTAGACAAATGTACACTTAAACTACCCACCAGACCATCATTAATAGCCAAAAAAAAAAAATCTGTCTGTATAAACTGCCAAATCACAACTACACATGCAGGCTTTGTTAGCAGCTCCCCAAGGGGCCATTCTGACACTGCTCCCAAGCAGGGAAGTGAGAAGAAATTCCACGAAGCAGATCGGATGCTGCTCACGTACATTAGTTCCAAGTACATTAGAATGAGATAAATGGGGAAAATATATAAATTAAATAGGTTCTACAGTAAGCAGTTTTACTTACTGGCTCCAGAACATTTAAATTTTCTGTCAATATAATAAATTTATTCATTTCTGCTATTTCATTGGTTATAATACAAATTTAGATCAAATATAATGCTGACATTTATGTACTGTAAACATAATTTTGGAACACGGATTTTTGATTAGGATCTGTATTTTTTTTAAATTCACTTAATGTCAGGATAATGTCCAGCTACTCTTTCATATGTTCTTAATGATTAAAAACAGAGAAGCAACAGAAACCAGTTTGTAAGTATATCATCTTTAATGCAAATAAATCCAAAGTTACATTTAATTCATAGCAGAGGAGGATAAGTTCAGGGATTAATATTTTTTAGTTTAGGACCTCTGCTGAAAGAACTTTGCATATCCTCTTACAGGAAGGGGTTGCTGTGGGGTTTTTAACATTGCCTTTGAGGTAAAGTAATAGAGAAAATAGCAAACTATTCACTTCGTCTGGGGAAGTCTAGAATCTTTCTTAAAGAGGCAGCAAAAAAACAACATAGCTGCCTTTTTATAATGGTGCAACAATCCTGTTATATACTCCTCAGTTTGACAGATAACTTCATCTTTGAAAGAGAGCTCTAGTGCCTGCCTTCTCACCAGAAATTAGCTAAGAAGATCTTAAGAGTCATCTCCAAGCCCTTGCAATTAAAAAGAAAGTCCTCTTATCAAAAATAAGAATTCCTAGTCAAACCACATGCATAAAAGAAAATATAATTTAAATATGTCTAAGGATCAGCATGCACCTAGAAAGATGAAAAGCACTCAATACAGGAACATTGGATCCAAAAAGATAAAACCAAACGCAAGACAGAGCAAACCTTTAGGGCTGGTGGGAAACTAGTTTAAAGAACACAGTGTTTTAGACTAGTTTCCTCTAATGTTTAATAAAAGATGTGAACAAAGAAGAGAAATTGTGAACACTAGATTAAAAAATAATGAAAAATTTGTCCTCTATTTTGCCTTTACTAAAAATCCCTGACTAACAGTCCAAAAGCTCTGCAACTGTGCAATATAACCTTATTACGATATTTGTATCAAGAAATAGTAGCAACTAAAAGGAAAATTTAGAAAGAGCAGTCATTCAACAAAAACACCTCGAGATGTTAAGTAGTTCTGAACTGTCAACAGTGACTGAAAATGAGAAGAACTTCTTCAGAAGTTTCAGGACACTGGAGGAAGACTCACTTAGGAGTAAGAGGAAATATGTTTAAGAAGAAAAAAGCTAGACCCACTCTGTCTGATTTTGTTAATTATTTGGTAACTTCTTCATCATCTTTTATTCCTAAAACTGAAGAGCCCTTTGTCTGATGTCCAAAATATTTACAGAATAAACAGTAGTCTTGTAAAAATAAGCTAAAACAGACAAGCAATTTTGTTCTCCAGTGTGGGTCACGTGGTGACAATCTCTAGTCAAATTATTTCTTGCCTAAAATAAGAACACTCTCACACAAATATAGTATTTTCCAAACAAGATGAAGACTGGTGAACGCAAATACATTGATGTGCTTATCAGTTGCTTCTTTAAAGAGAAGAATCCTTTAGTAGAGGTCAAGATAAGCCTCTGAGAACTAAATGTTAAAACCATGCCATTGCATCTGACAAGGTGAAAAATTTTCACTTTTTTCAGGCTCACCCAAAAGGGAGGCAAAACTATTATTCAAAACGACAGTAAACCTGACACTTCTACTCATACAAACTGGTTGGGTATAAAGACCTCTTTCTGCCTCCTGTATGTTACAAATGAACGTACATGTTGTTTACCATTTAAAGTATCTTGTAGAGAACTGCATGTTTTAAAAAAGCCAATTGCTTGCCTAGATACCTCCCCACTTGTGGAAGGATGTAACCCTCTTCCATCTGTTCCAAAGAATGACTTTCAGAGGAAAAGGGGGTGTTGTAAGTTGCTAAGTTTAAAAAAAAAAGAAAAAAATCAAAAATTAAAACCACCACACATACACTGCAGTACTTTAACCAGTTTATCATTAAGATTAGAGAAAATGTCTCTTATGGAGAGCAGTCAGGGGTTTTTTAACTCTGCATTAGTGTATGTATTTATGACTAGTTGAAGGAACATTGCCTTAATCGGGTCTTTCCATCCTTTCAAAATATTTCCATGCAAATTCAGAAGAGAGATACTGCATTTCCCCTGGGACAGTGAAAGACTTAGCTGAAATTGGAAATATAAAGGAAATACTGAACATTTCTTAAGAATAAAAATGCGTCTTTTCTTGATCTACAAGATGATCTATATATGCGTTCTGAGGAAAAGCATCTACAAAGCCTTTTTAAGTAGGTTAGGCATTACTCTTCCTAAGGCTTCAAGAGGCCTATTTGAGTAAAGTGTTATGGAAAAACGAAACAAAATAAAAAGTCCCAGTTATGTAATTTAAAGATGTTTTCTCTAAGACCACTTAACTTTAAAAAAGGCATTATACTAGTTCTAACCAATTGATACAATATCATCTTTACTGTTCTGTCAAGACAGTAATCCAACACATTTCTGTTAATAAAAGTGATCTTCAAGCTGACATGAAAGTGATCTCCACTTAGAGAAACAAAAGTAACACATTTTTCTGAAGGCAAGCATTTAAATGAAACACATTTAACTGTTAACATACTGAATGACAACTTTGGGTTCACAAGGATAAGGAAGTCTCAGACTTATAAACAATGAGATTTGGGTTCCTGCCCGTCTAACAGCAGAAGCCTAAAAATCAGTCTTCAACACTTTCTTGAGTTCTTCTGTTTGCACAAGACATTCTTTTCTTCTCAGTTTCCTCACGCAAATCCAAATATGCCATTCCATTTTCAAGACCTCCCTGGACTGTAGTTATAAAACAATTTTAAAAATAAAAGATTCCTTATGCTATACATATATATTGCCTAGATAACAGTGAGTCTTCTGATGTTCTCTCAGCTAGCCTTCAGCGGGCAAATTTTTTGTTCCAAATTAAGCAGCTGATGTAATTTATGGATTTCAAATAACCAAAGGTAATCAACAAAATACCCAAATTACAGAGAATGGAACTTTGTTGCCGATAAGTATATCATTCTCCCATTCTCTACCTCTGATTTTACATACATATCAAGCACTCAAGTAGTTCTGTTGTCAGCTTTCCACTTAAAATCCTGATCATTTAGCTGAAACACAGATATAAATATATTTATTCTAGGTAGACAAATTCCAAAATATTTTCAGAAAGTTCTATCAATTAAATTAACACAATCTTTTGAAAGTTTTGGTTTGTTTTGTTTGGGGGGGGAGGGGAGGATTAGAAGCTTCAGAAGTAATTCATTAGCAGAAATCAACAAATACACAAAGCAGAATCTCTAAATAGGTTTCAGTAAAATACTGCAAGGAAGGGGAAAATTACCTGTTGACACAGATTCATGTAAACCTGACCTTAGATGTAATGGTTGGATTCAGTTTCTGTAAGTGAAGAGCTGCTCTACAGATGCATGCTACTTGAACCCAAGGAAGTTGGGAGCTTTTTTAGAGGCAACTAAACACCTCTGGGAAGGGGTTTACTGAAAAGTCAAGTGTTTCATAAGTTACCATAACAACAAAATATAATACCAAAAAAACCCTTAAAGACACATTCTTAACCAAAACTGGTGCATTAAGAATGGTTATCCTGGAGTTCCCAGCATGATAATTTAAATACCTGCAAGGGAAGGGTACCCATTTTTTCCCTACCTTTCTCAGTCTGAAATAGAAATAACATCATTGCTTTTACAGACTAGAGGAAAGTCTGACTGTGCTAACACAGAATTTAACAATCATGGAATCATTTAGGTTGTTAAAGACCTTTAAGATCACCAAGTCCAGCATTCCATACCACCAAAATCTTTGACCAGATTGAGAGAGTGAGATTATTTTCATCTAAATCTAAATCCTGTGACATCTTCCAGCACTCACTTGTTTCCTAATTTTCTCAGGCTGCCATTGCTCCAGTTAAGACTCTACTATCAGCAAAGGTCAAGATAAGAAAGAAACCTTTAACTTTTAGATAGTCCAGGTCAAACCCAACAAGGGTTTTGAACAGAATGACAGTGACACTGCCCTGAATAAACCTGCAAATGGAGAACCACTGCAGAGAGCAAAGCAATAGGTGATACATTGAATCTGCTACTAAAAGCAAGAAGACTGCTGTGTTTTGTGCTAGTTACAGTGGGGTTTCATAAAGTATGAGACATAACAATGAAGTCAAAGGTCAAAACTGCATGAATCTTCACAGTAGGTAGGTCCGGATATTACAAAGAATGATGCAATCCACTGACCAGCTGCAGACATGGGATTTTTGAAATCCCAAATGATCATTTCAACATTGTAACAACATCACAGCTGCCTACTGGCTTGTCCAGCACTATCACTGCTGTCACATGAAATGGCAGAACACTCAATTAACTTGTGCACTTGTGTGAATACTGGACAGACAATTGCCAAGGAAACACCAGAACATATGTTCAAATGCCATTTTTTTCCAGATCTGAGATAATATGATACTAAACCCATACAAAAATTTCAGAAATGGAAACTAGTGGCTTAGGCTGGGCTCTGGGGAAAAAAGGCATAGTGAGCTGAAGTCTGGGAAATGGATGCTAAAATTATGAAAAAGACTCAAGGCTCAATGGCTCTCAAAGGGCAGAAAAAACAGAATTTAACACAACAGCAGCTCTACAAGTTCAAAATTAATGAATGAACAGAAAAGTGAGTAAACATGCTGTGGAGCTGACAGCTGAAGTGCTGAGATAGTCATCAAAAGTAGCAGCTCTGGCTTAGCAATTTATCATGGAAAATGGAGCACAATCATTGCTCTTACAGCATATTTGATAAAGAATATAAGGCAGACATGTTCCTTGCCCAGATAATCTTACAGTCAAAATAATTTAAAATACTATCCAGCACAAGTCAGGCTCTCATACATAGATCACTGGATGATCTGTGAAATATTTGCTTTTGCCCATGGAGCTGGTGCCTCAGTACTTCCAAATATTAAAATTCCATTGCTTCCACAGTATTATAAACAATTTTCTGCATAGAAAAGTATCTGCCTCACTGGTTTTATTCTATTCCAAGTGGAATTAACAAGTTTTTGACAAAAAAATTAGTCTATATTAGCCATGTTGACTTTGAGGAAAAACTCCAATGCCCTTAGGACCACAGACATTTAATCGCCTAAAGGAGCTAAAAAAAACCCTAAACAAAAAACAACACAACCTTAAGTTGGGTCACAAGTGGTGAAACACAGAAAGCTAAAGATACAACCAAAAATAATGAGATGAAACCAAAACTAAGCAAATTGAGTAAAAGGCCTGAAAGAATGATGCATTTTAATCTGAGGAAGGACATGGAAAGGACCATTTTGATTTTCCAGTCTAGTGCCTGCAGTAATATGACAATTGCAACAGAAATTCATATAGAATTGTATTAAATGTGACCTTATCTTACAATTTTCACCTGAGAGATGTTAACATATCCTATCCAAAAAACAAAATTAATTGTTTTGTTAAAAACACCTGCTCCAGAACACAGTCTTATTTCATTATGAATAATTATTCAGATCAAACACACTTAAATACTGACATTGTATGAATTTTCATGTTACCCAAAAAAAACAGGAACTGTTTATAAATACAGTATTATTCTACTTACAGTTACGGATATTATTCCAGTCAATTTTAGAAAAAAATGGATGGCAGCAGAGTCCCTCATAATCCAGCCTTTCCTTCTGCCCACAAAGCAGGCTCTGGATCAGGTCAAGAAATTCACTACTAACTTTCACATCCTCTGGGAACTTCAGAAATCTCTGCATTAGAAAGAAAGGGAGTTCTGTTCAGTCAGAAAACAGTCCCACAACAGTAAGATTAAGTTTCATTATTCTGAGATATGTCAGGCACAAAGGATAAATATTTATAGCATACAAATAAAAGCACTGTGCATTTTTTCCAGATAGGGTTTTATATGCATTTACTGCAGTAAAGAACACAAGAACAACCACTCCTGATCAGACAAGTGGTAGTCCCAGATCATCATCTTATGCTGAACAATGGCCAATGGCTTACACAAATGGAAGAGTAAAACAAGACACTTCCCCAGAAAATTCTCACAAAGTTCCAAGTATCTGTGGCTTAGGATTTTCTGAACCAGAATGATGTCTTTGTATTTGTCAGATCTCAATGGATTCTTCTATGAATTTTTCTAGTCACTCCTTGAACACATAATGTGTTCAAGTGTAGCTTGAGTGTAGCTGCAAACTTAGGGCAAAGAGCTCCCCAGCATGAAAACGTCCTATATGAAGTACCCTTTTTTGTTTGCAATGTAGTTACTACTGGCTACTTTCACTTGATTCCCATATTAGGCAAGATAATAAGCAACCATTCTCTGTTCACTTCCTCCCAGCTATGCATGATTTTTTTTATTTTTTTTTTTTTCTTTCCTACTAACTCCTACCATTCTATGTGCTGCTTTTTGGACTGTTACCAAGATCTAAACTAACATTTGCATAGATTATAACATCAAGATACTGTTCTTGAGCCCACCACTGGGTAAAGTTGGGATACTTTTCCCTTCATATGCATTGGTTTAAATTTATTTATACTAAATTTCATGTGATGTTTTTATCAAGCAGACACTCAGTATCCTCACGTCTTTCTGTAGCTCTTCATAGCTAGCCCTTACCTTTACTATCCAGAAACACTTAGTAAGACTCATACTTTATCAAGCCACAATTCACCCTTTTAATCTCTCTTCTAAATTATTTTTTAAATGCTGCAATTATAGTTGCCCAAGATGGACAGCTAATTTTTTAATTCAGACAGTTATTTTTAGACACCTGTTACAAAAAAAAATTATCTACAATACAGAGACATATAAATACAATATAAAGCATATATTCTAAATATTTTATGAACATGACAAAGTAAGAGACCTCCATAAGCTTCTTTTCACACTGTAAAAAACACAGAACTTTAGTTACAGCCTTTTTACTCAAGAACATGGAAGGAATTCTCTCTACCTGGAAGTTCATTATGTTATTGAAAGTTTTTGCTGAAGTCCCTTCAGTGAATGGAGATCTTCCATAAATCATTTCATACGCAATGACTCCTAGGGACCACCAGTCACATTCTGGACCATAAGAAGCTTTGCCATCCCCATTCAACCCTGTTAGCATTTCTGGTGCCATGTAGTCAGGTGTGCCAACAGGTAGCTTGGCATTGACCTAGAAGCATAGATACACCAAGTGAAATTATAGCACTTTCTGTTCTTTGTGATCTTGGTGATTTTTTTTAATTTTTTTTTTAAATGATATATAATTTTCAGCCCTCCGAGTGAATTTTAAGCAAGGCTGTTAAGCAAAAAAGTACAAGGTTACGGAAACTGCTGATAAACAAACAGAAAGCAAGCTAGTTGATATAAAATGAGTCAAATCATTGGAGCCAACTGTTACTAGAAAGTACAAACAGCTAAAGTAGAAAAGCAGTATTAACAGGCTACTAAACAGTGATGTTTTAAGCAGTATACATACTCTAGCACTACTGCTTCAACTAGTATTAATAGGGACATCATAGATGAAATTTCAAAAATAGTCAAATTTAGACATAAGTATTCCCTACCCTTATTGCATTCTGTGTCATTCCTACCTTTTTACCTCGTGTTCATGACCAGCTAAGTACTGGTATTTGAATTTCTGGAGTGCTTAAAAAGATAATTAGGAGCCAAAACTACAATAGTTTTTGCACTGAATGGCTTAAAGAATGAAACAAAACAACAGGCAACTAACAGAAAAACTTGAAAAGGACTGAAAACATAATGCAAAGAAAAAATTTAAAAGACAAATGCAATGCAGAGAAGCAGTGAAAAGGGAAGAACTGGGAAAAAAATTTTAAGAGTCACAATACTAAGAAAATGCAATAAAAAATAAAAATTGTAAAATAAGGCAGGAATCTGGTATAGAACTTCATATTCTCACTTAGATATATTTGAATTTCAAATTATCACTTGAAATTGTATGCAGTTACCTAAATTTACAAGCAACATAAAAAAACTCAACCAATTCACAGCTTTGAATATAGTGCTTTCTGGTGAGTAAAGCCCAGAACATTGGAATATGACTCATTTCAATCAAGAGCTCCCAGTCTTAAAAACTATGCCACCTTAGCTGCAACAAACACAATTTTCAGTCCAATTATAAACAATTATAAATCCATGTCCTTCTTTAACACAGCATTGAACAGTTGTAAGAATCCCTAGAAATATGATTTTGTTTTGCAGTGCAGCACCATGAGAAAGTAGACTTGCCTTTACCTTACTTGTGTATTAAAATTTTAATAAGCAAATACCTATCTTCTGAGAGCTGCAAAAGATACTTGAGCTCCTGTTTGAAAAGCCATTCATAAATGGAAACATATCATTGTGAATATGGGACAAGAAAGGCAGAATAACAAGCTGTAATCAAGGAACAGATAACAAGTAAGTTTTCCCTTTTTGACTGGACTATCCAAACAAGTCATAGACAACGCTTAAATCCACATTATTACCATTTTGTTTATTGTCATTCTGGCAGCTGAACCAAAGTCCACCAGTTTAATGTGTCCTGTTCGATCAATGAGAACATTCTCTGGTTTGATATCTCTGTAAGCAAGAAGAAAGCAATCAGTACCATTTCCACACCATTCCCCACTGTCACATCCAGAGAACAGATACCCCTACTCAGCGACGCTCAACCATGTGTTCAGTTGCATAAAACCTTAACAAGTGGGACTCTTATTTCCTACTGTCATTCTGTTTCCAATCAAAAATGAAAGTAAGAAAATTCTCCTTATTTCTTGGAAAGTTAATAATTATTGACAGATGATGGCAAGAAAGTGGTTTCGCACCTGGACTACATTGTAACTGAGTTACAGTGAAGTATTACGTAGCTTTCTTCCCAAATTTCATTACAACTTGTTCTGTACATCTTTTAAATCCAGGCAGCTAGCTTGTATTAGAAAGCCACAGCCTATGTGCTTAAGTGCAGGCACTATAGCTGCTTGGAACTTAAAATATTTCAGAGCATTTCCAAAGCCTCAGAACGGAATAAATTTATTAAACTCCAATATGATTTGAAAATGCTTATAGTAACAGCCTTCAAGCCTTGATATGATCTTTAGAAGACTCCTTTAACTACTCCAACATCCCGCCCTGTTCACCAATCAGCACACAACAAGTTTTAACAATTACACTAATTTCCCATACTACTTGGTGCCAAAAGCAACAATCTCTGGAAAAGATTTTCATTTTTTGTAGGGCAACATTAAGGCTTCTTGTTACTAAGCCTCCAGAAAATATATGTAACAATCCTTTCTTGATATTAGTTTAAACTTTACATCAAAGTTAATGCCTTCGGCTAAAATTCCAGTTTGAGTCTGATTAATTTTCTAATTTTCTTCTCTGATACAGCATGTGAAATACTGTCCTGAAAGAGGACTAAATATAAAAAAAACAAGAATGCGCCATTCCAGAACACTTTTACTGGAATGATACTGATCAAATATTATGTGCAATGTAAAGCAATCTCTACATACCGGTGTACATAACCCATCTGATGGACACTGTGAATGGCTAACACCAACTCTGCAAGGTAAAACTGCACCATACTCTCATCTAGCTGGTCCTCATATCGGTTTAGAAGTGACAGTAAGTCCCCTCCAGGCTGATACTCCATAACCTACATAAAATTTTAAAGGAAAACATATGGTTCGTACATACAAAAGATATTTGATTCAACTACTCCATATTACACTGGACACATATGGCATATAATGCAGGAAAATTTACAGATGAGCACATTTCAACCATCACACTGTTCTTCAACAGAACAATGGCAATAGTGTTCAATAGAGGAGAAAAGAAGCAAAGACCAGGCATTACCAAGTAGAGATTTTTCTTGTCTTGAAATGCATATTGTAACTGTGGAATCCACGGACTGCTGTTCTGAGATAATATACTGCGTTCTTCCTCAAAAAATGACACCTACAAAAAAAGGAAGTGTTCAGTTATATCATGATGCAAATGAGTTAGAATACATTAGAATCTCCTAGTTTCAGAAAGATTTGAGTCTATGCCAAAGGCACAAATCACAAAAAAAAAATTACACAGAAAATATTAAATGCTATTTCCTTGTGATGTCCACCTTTAAAAAAAGGAATTCTACTCCTTTGTTCCCCTCAATCATTCTGTGGTCTAGGCTGCTTTCAACTGAATAGTCCCTGCAGCAAAGGCCAGCTTCCCTTTCAAATTGGTGAAGCATCTACCAGTCTGGAGTGCAGTCTTGGTTGACTTCATTTGGACTGGCCCTAACAAAATAATACTAAAAAGATTCAGACAAACAGAAAAGAAACTAGAGCAATTACAGGGTAGTGTCTTACAGCTAATTCAGCAATAAATTCATTTTGAGGTATTAAAATACAAGGCTTGTTTGAAATCATCCTCTACCAACTATTTAACTGTTCAGATGTGCAGCCAGACAACAGGAATTAATAAAACAGATACTGCAAGTTCATTTAGATCAACATTCCCTACTTCCACTGACCCACACTCAAGAAGGCTGAACATACTGAAGGTAGTATCATACTTTGCTTTTTTGTCAACCTATGCCATAGCAAGGGTAATTTTAGTTTATGTTCATTTCTGATAGCCACAAACAACGCTAAGGGATCTCAGCAGCAATCTAACTGCACCATATACTGGGACCAAGTGATGCAGATATTGCTGTATAAATTCACGAGGTCTTTCATGGAGTATCTCTGTCCTACTTGTCATCTCATGTCAGTGAAATATTAACTTCTGTTTCTCACCAAACTATGATAACAACCTCCATTATCTCTTTTTTAAGTTTTCAAGTAACACATTTCTCAAGCTAGTGAGAGGCTCTCCATAAAAATCCAGTCACCACAGTTTGCCTTCACACCCACTCTTGACATTCTACGTCGCTCTTTAAAATAAAAAACTTAATGGAGTGCCTGAAAATTCAAGCTATCATCAAGCTGATCAATACTGATCCAGTATTTTCATCTGTTTTTTCTTGTCTTACAATTAGATGGCAAGCTCTTTAAGACAAGAGCCATCTTTTGTTTTGAATGGCACCTCACCCAATAGATTCATAGTCTATGACAATGGCTTTTAAACTCAGAAAAACTACAGACAAATACATTACATCACTTAAATGTAAGGTGATTAAGATGATCCTTCCCAAGATACACTTTAAACTTAATTCTAATAATAGTGACAAAAAGGAAATGTTCAACAAGTTGCAATTTATTGTTCTACTGTCATAACAGAAAAATATACATACGTGCTCCTGTGTCAACAAGGACTCCTTGCTCATCACCTTCATAGCATATACATCACCAGTAACTTTCTCTCTTACTACTTTTACATCTGCAAAGTGACCACAGCCAACCACACTCTTTACTTCAAAATCCTTCACACTGGGTTGCAGTTCCCTTAATTCAGCTATAGTCTCTGCATCTATAAAAATAAAATACTTATTTTTACATTAGCCAAGTAGCGTTTCATAATAAACACAAAAAAGGGAATAAAACACAAAAAAGCCATTTAGTTCCAGACTCAAGAAATGTTAAATCTTTCCAGAATATGCTTCTTAAAAAAAAACCAGTATGCCTAAGAACTAGAAAAAGACTGTATTAATGCATAGTTAAGACTGAAATATGGTACATACAAAAGAATCAGGAAATGCTAAGACAGTTCCCATAGCAACCATAACTCTGTCCCATTCATAACACCATAGGCTGATAGCCTCTTTTGTTTCTAATTTCTTTCCAACTCTCCTTTACCAACACAAAGGGTATTCTCTAAATTTGAGGGCTTCACCCGGCCAGTTCTACCGAGTCAAGTGGCAGGATTTTCTCCTCTGCCTGTGGGAGGCACTAGTCTATTGTTTAACAAATAACCATAGACATTTATTTCAGACATTCAGTTCAAGTTTTCCATTGACTAGTTTCAACCAGCATACACTGTGATAATCAACTGCTCACAGTAGATTGTTCTAAAAATTCTTCAGACTAGCAGAAAATTACTCTTCTCTAATAGTATCTAGAAACTGTTAGATGGAACTGTTATAAAGGGCATGATTAAGTTACTTTTAACCAAATGGCCTTCCAGTGTAACTTAATAGAAAAATTGATGAACCCTTTTTTTCTCTTTTATCCAAAAAGAATCTGAGCACATTATCAGTAAAACATTCACTCATCAGAAGTCATATTTCTGAAGCACAGAATTACTACTTATATTGTACACATGCAAAATTCAGATAACACATAGAATCCAAAAAGATTACTTCAAGCTGAAAGAGTCAAAGATTACCAAAATCCTTTTTTTTTCTTTTTCTCATACCTCTAGTCACTGTCCTGCTCTCAACTTCTGACATCCTTCTACTGTGCATACTTGGAGCTTTGCTGTAAGCTGTACTCGGAGACTTCTAAAGAAAGTGCCTCTTAAATATAGTACAGACTAAGTAGGATGCCCATTCAAGTCACAGCAATTCAAAAGCCACTTGCATTTGACCTTTTTGGACCTGAACAAAGCCCTACTGACTAAAACTGCCAAGATCACTTTTGCAATGTTGAGTCTGCCCACAAAAAGTCAGATGCTCAAAGTCCTGGGTTACAGTCATTAATGAATCAAAGCGACTAAAGCATTATTTAAGCATTCAGATTCTTAGAAATTTTCTTTTAAAATTATAACTGAAAACAAACAAACTAAAAAATTAAATCAAACAAACTTACATTTCTTGACAAAGTTCCCAACATGTTTAATTTTCATTAAAGCGGGGTTTCTGCATTCTTCAAAAAGAACGAATAAAGAATCAAGGATGCCTTCCCGGGAGAGAGGAGACATCTGCTGTTGAGTCACAAAGAGTGGCTTCCCCTGGAAAAAAAAAGAAGCAACAGCAGATGGAGTCTCAGACAACAATGAAAAACCTCAAATCAATAACATATGTATAGAGCAGATTATATATTATCCATTTTAAAATCACTACTTCAGAAATTAGACAAATGATACAGAAGTGTGAGGTAAATATATCAACTCACTGCATCTATCTGTAATAGCTGTGACAGGTATTTTACTTTTAGATAAAGCAATCCTTAAAAGATGGTTAAAGTTCAAAGCACAGCTTTCTTGAAACTGTCTACATCCTATTGATGATGCTGATCTGACTGGCTTTTTTCTTAACATTATACCATTTGGTTTTTTCATAGTACAAACGGTTTAAGCAGTCAGTATCAATATTAGCTCTAGAAGGAAAAGCTGCTGAACCTCAGATGATCAAACAGCAGCTGGTGAGGTAAACCTACTGCATGACAAACCCTCAGCTACACCAGCCATGAAAAAATTGCAGATTACAGGACAGAGTAATATTCCATCTTTACATGGGAAAATCTACTCAGGCTGCTAAAACATTAAGAGATGCACATAAACATAAGATCAGCTACTATCCACTGAACGTTGTGCAAACTAGACAACTTGCTGAAGTTCAAAGTGTGTATCTCCTTCTTTTACCCCTTTCTCCAAAGAACCCCACAGGCACACTTTGAGTGTCCACACAAACAAGCAAAGCTGTATTGTGATACGCTGGGTCTGGACACAGATGAAACCAAGAACTGCTAAACCCAGGACAGATGCTCTTTACCTGGAAGAGCAGATTTAGCCGAGAAATTCGGCTGGTGATGGGCTCCATCGGTCCTGCCTCTACCGGATTTCGGGCACCGCATTTAAACTTCAACATCTTTACAGATTATCTTGTATAAAAGATCACCTGAAAAAGAGAACAAGGACTTTCAAGCAGAGGCATTTAATTTTATATATAAGGAGGGATGGAGGAGTATAAGTTAAGCAAGATTTTTATTTCCTCGGAGACAAAATTTATTAAAACTAGCAATTTTAAGCGCATGCGGAGCGGCACAGCAACTAACATGATTTTAGGCAAGGCGGGGAGAGGGAAAGGCTGCAAAACGAAAACAACCCTGCGGGCGCACACCCCCCAAACGGCGGCGTCAGCGGCCCGCGGAGCCGCTGCCCGCGACGCAAGGGCCCG